TGAACGTTGAACGTTTAAATGTTTCCAGAGTTTGGGTTAACAGTGCTTGAAGTGGGTCGGTACGCACCGATATGCAGTACCGGCACCTCGACAGGCGGGAGAACTGAAGCCCGGGTGCCTTTCAAGCCGCCATGTGCTGAATGTATCTCTTCTCAATGTCACTTTTTGTGAACCGACCAATCACAGCCTGGATGTGGTGAGACATTTAAAAATATTGAGAGATAGGTTTCATTTACACTGGGGACACGTCAGAACAGTGTCTCCATCACTTTTTGAAAGCTTTTGTTAAAAATGTTCTGAAAAACAGCTTGCAACAAGAAATGTTAAATAACAAATGAAACAATGCACAATAAGAACACCATCCATCCATCCATCCATTGCCAACCGCTTATCCTGCGTGCTGGGTCGCGGGGACAATAAGAAAACATGCAAAGCAATTATAATATAGAAGAAAATAATGTGCATTGTCATAAAGCTGATTACTGCATTACATTCCATTATATTTTTATATTTTGAATTGTCACCTGTCATCTTAATTTTGTTTCCCTTCATATAAATAAAGACATTTCCACTATAAAATGGTGCAGAAAATGTCTCAGAAAATGTCTCAGAAAAAAAAGTGTTTAATGCTCAAAGTCGTCCACTTCAAGCACTGTGGGTAAATAACATATCCTTGCATGACCAGTCAAGGTACACTGTTGATGTTGTAAGCTTGATTGTATGTTAGCATTGGCTAGCTAGCATGAAATCTGTCAGCTAAAGAAGCATGATATGACTTGATTAGATTGACCAGGTCATTATTACCACCAACTAAAAAAATAATGAAAATAAATAAAAATGTGCTAACACACAAAATAAAGGTACATTTATTAAACCCAGTTACTTTTATTCTTATTACATTTTAAATAAGCTACAGTAAGTGTTACACAATAGCTTGCCCAACCTTATTCTCTATACTGTCTATGCAGCTATGAGAACTACTGATGTCTTAGGTCTAAGGTTACGAAACCAGTGTTGGTCAAGGTGAAAATATCACAGTGAAGGTGAAACCAGAAAAATGTTTAGGGCTTACCAAAATCCCCAGGAATCATGTTTTCGGTACGGAAGCCCTAAGCGGCCATCCATTCAAATATTTTTTTACTCCGTTTTCCCATGATAACGGGATAATTTTCTTGTGATCTCGAGATAACAAAACAGTAGTTTAACACGTTTCTTAATGATAAAGTTTCTTAATGTTAGAATTTCAATGTGGTTTTCAGTGTTACTGGTTAACTCGAGTAGTAGAGCACAGGTCACATAACCTCAGGGTCGTATGTTGTCCTCACTGAAGACAAACTCTTTTTCATAATCCTCTTCAACAAAGTTCTTCTGAAGACACTGTTTCAATAAAGCACTTGCCGGACTATGTGCATCCCGGTGATTGGTCCACATCCATCAACCTGTGCTCTCTTCTTTTCCCCATCATTCCCAGGCAGAGGAAATTCATCTGCTTCTCATTCATGGGAATCTGCCGGCTATTTCTGAACCTTTGAAATAGCTGTCGGGAAATGTGTGATTGGATTCCCCTGAATCTTTTCCTAACAACTTTGTTGAAGAGGATAATAAAAAACACACAAAATAAGAAAAAAAAAGTTGTTGAAAGCAGGAGTCAAACCCACAACCCTTAGATTACACTCACCGACCCATCCCTGTATTCAGCTATTGTTTGTTATCTCGAGATCACAAGAAAATTATCCTTTTATCATGGGAAAACAACAGTCGTTATCTCAAGATCATGAGAAAATTTTCCTTTTATTACGGGAAAACGGAGTAGCAAAATAATATGAATGGATGGCCGCTTAGGGCTTCTGAATCATGAGACCAGGAGTATATGTACTGAATTTAATTACAGTGGGGAGAGTAGTTGCCAAAGTATCTTATTCTGGACAGGAGGAAAGACTGACATCCTTAGGCCATAGTGCTAGTGGTTAAGAAAAGAAATATCTAAAGCAGAGAGTTCATCTGTTCATTCACCATCGAGAATTTTTAGTGTTTGAGTGTTTGGTACTCTTTAATAAGCATGATTCACAACATCATCATTTTCCAGAACATTTTGTTACACTTACTCAAATCTAATGCCATGACAATCGTCCCACATTCTCCACTGGGAGGTTTCGTCACTCATATGTTGCACTGACCTATTGGAGTTAGAGTAATGAGGTTAGACAGAGGTGTGTGTCTGTGTGTTTAGTGCTGCTAAGCTGTCTGAGTCAGCTGTAACAGAGTAGCCTGCAGTAGCTGCCAACAGGGAGCTGAAGAGAGTCAACAGGTGGCCTCAGAAACTAAACTGTAACTGATTTTACGTGACAATCTTATTCCATCGTCTTGTATCTTCATGACAAAGAGTCAAAAATAGAATGACATTTTATTTTATTTTTTATTTTATATTACATTTTATTATTGTAAACAATACAACTGTAATTTTAAAGCCAGATTGCATTGGTTATAGTTACTTGGGGATATTTGTTGGAAATGTAACGTTCTTCTGATCTTAATTGGTCCTCGACCCACTTTCCACTCAGGTTTGGCATGAAATGTAACTTGAAGTGTGGATCAGAGTGCTTGATTTGTACACATACTTAAAAAAGTGCTTGTGTGCTGAGGAACCTACGCTAGCTAATTTGTTTGCATAATCAAAGACAAGGCTAGTTAGCATTAATTAATACTTATGATATTTATTTTGAGCAAAACCACTCTGCATAATTCTCTTCTGCCCTCACTCTGCACAGCTATACAACCAGCTAAACTATTAAGGATGAAAACTGGAGTTTTGCCTAAAAGCATACATTAAAGTCACAGAGGTAACCATCAGTTTTCCCTAAGAGTCCTAAGTCCTCCTGATTCTAAACACAATGCTACAAGAAACAGTAATGTCAACAGTCAACCAATTATATTATAAAAATGCATCTGACAATATATCTAAATAAATTAATCCTTTACAAGTTAAAAATACAGCCAGTGACCCAAGAAACAGCAACATCTATTTCTTTCACCATTCGACCAACTTTTGGCCCTGATTAACAGCTGGTATGCATTATCACAATAAACAGCCTTATTCTCATTCCCAGGGTGCTTTAATTTGTCACGTCCTTTGGCGTCTGGTACCAACACACATGAGAGCCTTTAGCGTTATAGTTCAACACACTGGGGGAAGTACTTTTGGCTCCACTGTTCAACTCTAAAAGTACTTTAAATAACAAAAAAGTCAGAGTAAGGAGGTGGGTTGATGGGTGGATCAGAAACTGTGCTTTCACCCAGGAGAACAGTGTTCGTTTCCATGTGAAACAAAAAGGTAATTGGTGGTTTTAGTGATTTTACATAAGTTCTGAAAGTTGCAATATTTAACATATTTTTTAAGTCACATAAATAGCTTAGTACTTTTAACCCAAACCATGATGTTTTTCCTTGAAATTGCGAAGTTGTACTTGTACTAACTGCGTGCCATTTCAAGTTAACCACCTTGCTAACTTGACTGCAGAGCCCTACACATACAGAAACAACGGCAAAGGGTACCCAGGGCGTTAAAAAGCGACGCCCAGGAGTCTTGACAAAGCGTCCATAGGTGACGCCCTGGATTGAGAACGGGTTGCAATAAATGAATATGGAACCTGTTCCATCTATGATGTACCATAGCCAAATCAATAAGTTGCTGAAGTCACAATGGCCATGAATGGATGATCCTGGTCAACTATCATAAGTAGTTAAACGGCCTGATTTTGCTAAAGCACATTTCAAATAGTCCTTCTTGCTCATGATGTTTTGAAACTCATCAAAGTTCATATCAACAGTGAATTTAATTCAACAGTTAATTTGATCCCTTTAATATTTTATGACTTATTTCTCCACAGTTGTTTTATTGTTCCCCTGCTTGGCCTTTGTTTCTCATCTCTCCTGTCTGCTGTTTACTGTTGTTTATAGTTGCCACCTGCTGGTTTGTGCAGTTTGCTGCTTTTACTCCAAACACTTTGTACTGTGATTTAAAAAGGTCAACAAAAAGGTATTTTTCTTATTATTATACCCATTATATAATTATATAGAAACTGTCTGTGTAACTGCATATTTGCAAACAGAATAGGAAAAAAGGGATATTTATTTTTCTTAAATAACAAGGCCACTTACTCATATCTACAGGAACTCATCACAAGTAGGTCTGAAAGAATTCTTAATTTGGTTTTCTTGTTATCATTAGAGAGTTATGTTCTGGTAGCTCTCTTGTGATCATAAAATTATTATTTCAGAAAAACTAAACCAGAAAAAGAAAACATGAGAAATAAACTCAGTTTCCTGTTAGATTATGTTGGTGGTTGGTGGTTGTAGTGTGTTGCTGTTGAATTGTATTCCTTCCGAGGTGTTAATATTTAGCTTACCCATATTGATATAAATGTGGTGGAGAAAAAATTAAAATAAAGACCTCTCTGTGCACCGCAACACAAGTCAACATCAGAGCAAACTACAGCCTCCAAACTTACCATAAAAATCAATGAAGGCCTCTCTTGAATAGTTTCACCAAAAATGTAACATTAAAATGTTTGTAGGATTTATCACAGGGCTGTTTCTTAAAATTTGCATTAGTTTTAGCAGGTGTACCTAAAAAACTCACAACCATAATCTTTCCCGACAACTACCACCTGTACTACTGCTACTATTATTACTGATAACAATGATAAGAATTATAATGATGATAATAATGACAGGAGTAATGAAGTAATAATATGTAGAATAGTGTGTTTAACTAGGTGACACAAACATGTTCAACATAATGTCAGTTCCCATTGTGTGACAGCAGAAGACTGTGGCCGCTACCAATGTTAATATTTGGATATGCATTAATAAGAAATAGTGTGTTGAGCATGCAGATTGACTTGATTTTCCTGGGATATTAGGAATTAAGAAAAAACTGTAGACAGGAGGCCACATTTCGTGCACTGTATTTGATCACCTTTTCTTTGTGATCTTCTCAGCGCGGTCGTCGACCACCACCACCACCATGGTCATCGACAGTAAGGGTGGCGACGCCGGCTCACCGCCTGTGCGAGGGTCCAAGAAAACTTTTACAGATGACCTCCGCTCTACCTTCAGCTCTCCACTGGCCTGGATCTTGGTTTTGGCTCTCATCATTACATGGTCTTGTGTTTTTGTCATCATGTTTGATGTGATGGACTACAAGACCATTTCAGGTAAGAAGAGGTTTATTTGCACTTCTGCCCTCTCAACTTATCAGTGTCAGGTACAGGTGTTCACTGGAAGAAGACATTGAAGAAGGGAGATAGAGGAAACTTTTTAGGCTTCTTGACTGAAATGTTTATGTAAATGTATAACCAGAACAGAGCAAACTTTGTCAACACTTTGCTCTGTTCTGGCACCAGAGGGCCAAACGTTCTGGCACCAGAGGGCCAAATGTTCTGGCACCAGATGGCCCAATGTGGGCTGGCTCTGGCTCATATAAGGCTGCCAGATTGGCTCGGTTTTCAGGGTTAGAACTGAGGTGAATTTGGAAAGGAGATTCATCTCCAATAAACAGCAGTCAGACCTTCTTGGGGCAGTGTTGCTGCACAAGTAGCTCACAGTTTAGCATCCTGGTAGTCTGGGAACCAGGCTACAAATATGATGCATATGGTGTAAGCTTATTGTATAAAGATGTGATTTTTTTTATTTTTTTATTTTTTACAGCTGTTAAGTAGATCAGTCTTCTACCGCAAAGTGCAGATTATTGAAGCAATATATTGTATATTTCTGTCTGCTGCAGTTTATTGTTGTGAGCACATGGTAACTGAAGGCAACTCAGATATGCATGTGAACATTTTTATCAACTCAAATTGTCTCTATCTATATATCTATACCATCTAGATCTCTGCAGCTGGGCGTTAAACTATAAGAATTGTTAATGTCAAAGATTTGGCTTTCAAACTATTTAAAAAGATAGATGTGAAGAAGGAAACTGTGCAAACAGCAACAAGAAGGCAGCTGTCTATGGAGGAGGTGGATTCTAGTAAATCACTAATATTTTTCTTGAACAATTGTCCTGCAAGAAGAGAGACTTGCTCCTTTTAAAGTGGCCGTCGGTCAGTTGTCCATCCAGGCTGAGCAGGTCTTTTGTGTAATACACGGAGGACTTCTCTGTTAGAGTGAATGTAGCTTTAGTTTTAATGCACCACTACTGACCAACAAAATAGTTTAGTGCAAATTAGTTTTCTGTTTGACCATGCAGAGAAGTGATCAGACTTCATGACAGTAAATGGTGGAATACTGCAACACCAAAATGGGTTCAATTAAACAGATTTTGTAGTTGTCCGAAATAAAACCAATAAACCCCTCTTTTCATTTTAACAATGTTTATAAATGTTTGTATATATAGTTTATTGCATCTTTATTTTTCTTCATTTCAGTTTGATTTGTTATCTTAATGTTTTTGTACAGGAAATTTAACTGTCCTGATGTGAAATTTACAAATTTTCTCCATTCATGTGTTTCTTTGACACTAACTACATTTCAAGCATTGGTTCCATTTCTCCTCACTACATCAAAAACAAACAATCCTTCCAGAACTTTCTGTTGTGTTCAACTCTACTCTTTTTTAACAATTGTTTCTAACCTTAACAAGAACACCTTCATTCCCTAAAATATTTCACATGATTAAAGTGAAACTGCAAAACACTGAAATAACCCAATAAAACCAACACATAGCAGTCAATTAGATACAGTATCTCTCATATTCACCATTACATCCAGAAAAAAAGGATAAAAGAACATTAGGACAAATTAATGTGCGCGCTGATATTTATATATATTAAATATAATCTCTTTTGTTCTTTCTGACACAGTATTCATTCAAATTCATATTTTGTTACCATGTCACCAGCTGAAGTCGTCATCATGCCATCACAATGTGAACACAGACATCCAGCACCTCTCTTTCATTACTTCCCCTCTCCTTTTTTGCTTCACCACTGTGCTCGTTGCCTTTGCTTATTGCCACTGTTTCTCATCCAACCAGGTCGTCCACCTCCTGCTGTCAGGAAGGTTTTAAAGGAATCAGGTCGTGGAGGCAAGGCATCTTATCTGCTACTAACTCCTCATACCAGAAGCTTTTAAAAGTCGCTTACACAAACTGATTACCTAACATTGACTGCTAATATGAGCTAACAATGTTACATTCAATCATTCAAAGCCAAGTCTTTAGTTATAGTACACCCTTCTGCATTTCTGCATTTCTGTCTAATGCTGTCTTCATTCTATTCAGATAGTAACATGACGTTAGGGATAGTTCGTAGTTTCATTTGTGTAGAAGAGACATTTCTGTAGCATGTTTATTCTGCATTTTTACGTCAGCTATATTGCGTGTGAAAAAATGAATGGTTTAAACATTTAAAAAAACAAAACAAGTATTTTGATTCCAACCAGGAAAAAAACAAAGCCTTTTCAATGTTTGAAACTACTTCAGGTGAGCTTGATTTACAAAAGTGGTCCTGGAAGATAAACCAAGCTCATCAGAAATCTGTATGCATTTGCACAAATGTGTTTTACTGCCGTATGTGTTTCTGCTCTATTGTTTTTCTTTTTCTATGTTTATTGTGCCAGTATGCTTGTTGTGTCGATCTGGTTACATTTATTACTAGAAAAACTTTGAAATATGCAAAACTCTTCTCCATGGACAACGTAGTTTAGGTTTATTAATGCACAATAAGATAATCATGTAATGTCTAAATAAGGAAAAATACTTTTGGACATTTGTTTAACTGTCCTGATTACAAATGTGTTTTTGCACGGGGAACACCGGCCCTCCTCCATCAAACTGTTTCAAACTTCTGTAGCAAAATGCCCACTATTGACTAGGACATATTAAAACATATATAATATTCTTAAATATTTAAAAACAGAGTACAACCCACAAATAATAACTTGATGAAAGAGGGTCAATGTGCTTTTTAAAATGCTTTTGGCACAGCAAAATGTTATGTACAATGCTTTTTGCAGTGGTTAAATGAGTAACAGTTCAGAAACTCTTAATGAAATTGGATATGTTAGGCCAGGAAAACAACTTCAATCAAACTAAATGAGTGAATAAATCAAGTGGTGTGTTTGTGTGCCTGTATTCACATCCCTACTCCACTAGGAGGCCTCAGCAAGATTGGCTCAGACCCCATGAAGGTGGTAAACGAAGCCATGGACAAATCAACAAATGTCTTCAGTGTAATGTTGAAATTTGCTGCCAACCTGATTGCTCCTGAAGAAGATGAAGGTACAGTGACTATACACATGGTAGAAATACAAACAATGTATCCCATTAAGCTTAAAAAAAAAAAACTGAGCTATTTTGTAAGCTTGTTGGTTTTATTGGATAAGTGAACAAATACTTTGATTACAGTTTATCTGATGAAATTATGACATTACAGTGCATTTACTCATTTTCCTCTCCTCTTCTCTAGGAAATCTATACGCAGTGAGAAAAAAAGGTTTGTACTGATGCAAATTCGGAAAACTTCCTGTGCAATAAGGGTTCTGCTGCAGATAAGGAGATGGAAAGCAGTGCTCGCTGCCATGAATGTCTTGTTCATGCTGCAGTGTGTTACATGTACAAAACAGCTCATAAAGGCATATTACTGCTTTAAAGCCATTCATTACACTGAACTGCACATGTGCTGCAATCGGTCTTACTTGACTAAGGCAAAATCTGAAATATATGGATGTAAATTCTTCAGATGATAATGATCCCACTGCAAGCATCTTCTGCATTCATGGACATAGATTATTCACTATGTTGTTTTATTAAAAGCCACAGAAATACATAAAATGTGTGGAGGGACTGTAGGAAGGCAAACATGGATCAAGGTGACAACAGTGCCAGAGACTTGATTGTTATTATGGTGAAAGATTCAAGCTGACTTGATCTATGAATGATCTCAAAGCTTCAAGATGGTTGGAGGAGGAGGATGAGGGGGAGGAAGTGGAGGTGAAGATTAAGAAAGCAAAAGGTATTTTATGATTACTATTTTTACATATAGATTAACTCTAGATGGATATAATCGGTCCTGACCCTCACCCTTTTAACAGCAGAGTAATGGAGGCAACAACAGTAAATCACTATACTAGTAATAGTCAATAGTATGTGTTTGTTGGTCACTGCTACCACTAATCTATTAAACGTCTACTAAAACTGACATTACACTGTACGTGAATCGACATCCAAACAGTAGAACGTTTTTTTTTTTTGTGAGGTTGATGATTTTTTGTTTCTCTTTCTGTGTTCCAGGTGAATTTCTTCCATCCCGGAGTAAAGGTATGTGCCTCTTGTTTGGCATATTTATATTTGAGCCTGGTTGTTAGCAGACAAGAAGAACACGGACACTTTTTTTCACATTTTTACTGAGATAGGTAGATTGGACGCTGATTTCCTTTTCATAGCTCCTTCACGAGCTATGTGTCTGTCTGTATATGCTGGATGTGTAAATAAGCTACAAAGTTTTTTTGTATTGCTTTTATAATGAGAAAATTTGTCAGTGTTTTGCAGCTGTACAATACACATGTGTTACATCACATATTTCTAGTTGGAGTAATTCCACCACTTTCGCAGATTTATATTTTATTACTTCAGTATATTGTTTAGTGTTAGATTGTTTATTGTTTATTTATATATATAAAAAAAATTATAAAAATTATATGAACATGTTTCTTACAGTTATAGAGATGCAAGCAAAGACAAAACCACCTGCGATTGAAGTCGTGGAGGAGGAAGAAGAGGTGGGAGAGGAGGAAGGAGAAGTGGCAGACGGAGTGGAGGACGCTGGGGAGGAGAAGGAGGAGGAGGAGGAAGAGGAGGAGGAGTATTATGAGGAGGAAGAGGAGTATTATGAGGAGGAAGAGGAGTATTATGAGGAGGAAGAGTATGAAGAGTATTATGAGGAGGAAGAAGAATATGAGGAGGAGGAGGAGGAGGAGGAGGAGGAGGAGGAGGAGGAGGGAGTAGAAGCTGAAGAGGAAGAGGAGGAGGAAGGAGCAGAAGTTGAGGAAGAGGAGGAGGGGGAGGAAGGAGCAGAATTTGAGGAAGAGGAGGAGGGGGAGGAGGAGGAGGAAGGAGCAGAAGCTGTGGATTTGGAGGAGGAGGAGGAGGGGGAGGAGGAGGAAGGAGCAGAAGCTGTGGATGAGGAGGAGGAGGAGGAGGAGGAAGGAGCAGAAGCTGTGGATGAGGAGGAGGAGGAGGAGGAGGAGGAAGGAGCAGAAGTATTGGAAGAGGAGGAGGGGGAGGAGGAGGAGAGAATAGAAGCTGTGGAGGAAGAAAAAGAAGAAGAAGAGGTAGGAGTAGAAGCTGTGGATGAGGAGGGGGAGGAAGGAGCAGAAGTTGTGGAGGAGGAGGAAGAAGAAGAGGAGGAGGGTGTAGAAGCTGTGGAGAAGGAAGATGAGGAGGAGGAAGAGGAAAAGGCAGAAGGAGCACAAGAAGAGGAGGAGGAAGAAGAAGTGGAAGGAGAGGTGAAGGAGGAGGAGAAGGAAGAGGAAGAAGGGCCAATAGAGGAAAAGGAAGAGGGAGTTGAAGCAGCTGCTGATGAAGAGGAGGATGAGGTGAAGGCAGAGGAGGAAGAGCAAGAGGAGGTGGAGATAGCTGCTGAGGTAAAGCAAGATGAGGATGAAGATGAGGAGCATAAGAAGGAACCTGAAGCAGCTGCAGCTGACATTGATGAAGACGGTGACGAAGATGAAATCAAAGAGGCCGAAGAAAAGGCTGACAAAGACGATGATGAGGAGGAGGGAGAAGAAGAGAAGGCAGATGCTGCTGATGAAGATGATGAAGTTTCTCCTGAACCCATCTCCACTTCTGAGGATGAAGAGTCGGCTGTGTCTCCCGATTCTGATTCTGACGCACCCGTTGACGACAAAGACAGTGACGAAGACGGAACGCTGTCTGATGAAGATGAACATGACGATGACGACACCAGTGACGACCTGTTCACTGACACCTCAGATGTCAGTGAATCTGCACTTCTTTCCAGTGAGGAGGAGGAAGAGGTGGATGATAATGACGACGATGAAGATGACAAGTTAGCTGAGGGTGTCACAACATCTGATAGCGATGACGTCATTGCGGAAGACACCGGGGACGACCTGGAGCTTGAGCTCTCTCCTATTCCTGCTGCTAGTGAGGATGATGAAGATGATGAACTTGACGATCAGAAACTCAGTGAAGAGGAATATCTTCCTCCCTTACCCGTTGTCAAAGATGATGAACACCTGGAAGAAGACGTCAAAGTTGCTGAAGACACTGATGAGGATGAGGATGAGGATCTGGACCAATCAGACGAGGACATATCCGTTGCCTCGTCTGAGCACTTTGCAGATGATGAAGATGATGACAGTGACCTCAAAGATGAGGACCTCGACTTTGACCTTGACAAAGACGTTCACGTTGACCTGGACGATGCTAAAGAAGATGATGATCATGATAAAATTGAGGATGTCATTGAAGGGGACATCCACGATGATGATGATGATGATAAAGAGGAGGAGGAGGAGGAGGAGGAAGTCGATGTCCCTCCCCTCGAGAGTACAGACAGCGGACTCTTAGGTGATGAAGATGATGATGACCACATTGCTCTTAAAACAGATGAAGAATCTGTCTTCAGTGATGACAGCTCCTACGACACAACCGATGACGATACAGATGACGAAGACGTCGATACCAGCTCACCTGAAGAAAAAGAGTTCACTGAAACATTTGTTGACACTGAAAAAGATGAAGAACGGACAGAGTCCTTCGCCAGAGAAGATGAAGAAAAAGACGACAATGATGATGATGATGATGTTGAAGAGGTCTTGCTAGCAGGTATAGTCCAGCATAAGTGATTACTTTCATTTTGAGTTATATTACAGTGTTGCATAGTCAGAGAAAACACTTGTTTCTGATTGGTTGGCAAATGATCTTCATAGACAACAAATAAAAGGAAATGTCAACAGTTAGATCATGCTTCTAAATCATTAGTAAATCAACATATATTTTATGTCAAAGTAATGCTAATAATAAATAAAAATAAGATTTTTATCAGGATAATGTAGGATTTTAAATAAATCAATGCATTTTATTTTATTGGTGTGGTGCATTTCAGTCTTTGTTTTATTTATTTTTTCTTGTGAAACTCCCTAACGTGGGCTGCGTAGCATATCACAACACATAAATAAGTAACAACACATATATTGGTGCTCTGGCTATGTAATTATTCTGTGTATTTGAAGCTACCACTGCAGCAGCGTTCGCCGTCCAGGAGGAGACAGTGAAGGCTGAGGCTGATGAGGATGAGGAGGAGGAGGAGGAGGAGGACGACATCAAACAGGCTGCTGATGAAGAAAAGACTGAGGAGGAGGATGAAACAGAAATTGGTGAGTATCACACATCCATTGCACCTGCTGTGTTTTTACACACTGTTAAACAATAAGAGCTTATCAGAACTCAGTTAACAGTCACTTCACTTTTTGTAAAACCTTTAAGATTCACATCATTTTAGCTGAAGGAAAATGTGTTTGTTGTTATTTACGGTTTTTAAAGGATATATAAAGCCAGTCATAATACAGCAATTCAAAATGTTTCTTTTATAAAATCAGAAAAACAGTTGTTACAATACAAACTAATGTTAAAAGATGGACAGTGGAAACTTGCACATGAGTCGATATATTGTATAAAATTCTACCAATTCAGAAGAAGTTTTACATATAACTTGTTACTTTGTGAGATTTCCTTTTTACAGTCAGAAAATTACAAAGAATTGGGGCTCAGATTCAAGAAGTTAATTGTCACATGCACAGTAAAAGCAACTGCAAACAACGAAAATCTTACTCTCCCTTACACAAGGGAAACAAAAAAACTGGGAACTAAAAAACCTGTGTGCAAAAGGTGAGGCGCTCTGTTCGTTGTACTGCAGACAGGGTAAAAAGTCAATAGGAGTGATGAGGAGTCGGGGAGGTAGTGTTGAATGTATTGTCCAGGAGTCTGACGGCATGTATGTAGAAGCTGTTTGAGAGTCTTTTTGTCCTCGTGTTCACACTCCTGTAGCGTCTCCCTGACATCAGAATTGTGAGGAGACTGTGTTGTGGATCTGTACTGTCTTTGATGATGCTGCTCCAGAGATGAACTGTGCAGTTTTTATCACACGTCTCTCCAGCGTGTGATAAAAACTGATGATCAAGCCAACATAATGTTTGCATTTGTTTTTCTTTCTTTCTTTTCTTTAAAAACGCTTTAGCACTACACTGTTGATATTTCTCATTCATATGTATATTACATTCATGTACCATTTATTTAAAAAAACAAATAAATGAAAGAGATCAAAACCTCGCCACGCTTATCTCTTTAACACCAAATTTATAATCCAAAACCATCAGATCCTTTTTCTTTGCAGTTTTTTGTTCATCCAACACATTTTTGTTTTGTGGTAGTGTGCGGTAGAATAGGGAAGTAAAAAAAGAAAGAAGAAGTTGTTGTTAGATTGCTATGGAATAATTCAGCTGAATTGTTGTTTTTTTGCACTTGTCACATATTTTAGACTTGTCTTCTGTGAACTGAGCCTAAAGCTGCTTGTCCAGTATGAAGAGAAGGATGAATGTCTGTAAACACGAAACCCAATTTAAAACTATTCCTTTAATTTCTTTCTTACCGCAGTTAAAATGGAAAACATGGACTGCTGTCCATTCATAGATGTATAACTATGAGGCATGAGCATAATCAGCCACTTTACAAATTAATGCAAAACTAAGTTATATTTCACTTCCTGCTTTCACCCTCAGCTATCAATCAGCCTGCTGCTCTTCAGGAGGAAGATGAGGGAGAAGATAAATATCAGACAGCTGAGCTAAAGAAAACTGTAGACGAACCCGAAGACAAAAAAGAGGAGTTCGATGAAGATGACGATGAGGAGGAGGCCACGGTGGATGTAATCAAACCTGTGCCTGCACCTGAGGAAGAAGCAGAAAAGACTGAACCCACAGGTCAGAGATAATTACAGCTATTATACCACATTTACCGTCACTGTAACTTCACCTTTATGCTTTGTGATTTCAGTGTGTCCCTGTATGCACTCTGCAAAGGCCAAAGAGTCTGTAGCCAAGACTACAGTCAAAAAAGGTTAGTGATCCTCCTCTGATGTCAGGAATAGAGTATTACATTTTTATTTTAACACACTGTAAGTGGAAGTCTAAAGGGTGTTAAGTATTGTTTAATATTTAAGAACCTCTAGTGGAGATCAGTGTGATTTCAGAAAAATGTCATGTTGCTGTTTACTGTCAATAGTGGCCTTAGAATAACAAATCAGAAAAGTGCAGTTTTACAGTACAAGTCACAATATCATAGTGTAAAAATCCTGAATTCAAAATTGTACTTGAAGGAGACCTATTATACTACATTCCCAGGCCTATACTGTAGTTCTGTAACTCCTGTATAGTAGCTTTGCTGATTCAAAGTTCAAACAAATCATTTTCTATCTTATACTGGCTCTCATTTCAGCCTCTGTCTGAAACAAGCTGTAGATGCTCTACCAGTCTGTATGTAGCTTAAAGTCTGTGATGTTTGTGTTTTCAGAAGCTCCCAGGAGGGTTTCAGCTGTGAGAAGGAGAAAAGGTACTGATAACAGTTTGAGGTTTTCATACAAAACTAATCAAAAATATTTTATTTGAGTCCAAATACAATTAAAGCTAATGTATGATAATGAAGTAGATGTTTTAATGTGTTTGATTGATGGAATAGGCTAGAAGACAATTGTACTTAAGAGACTCTAGTCGGTGTTTTTGTTTCAAGATAACATTTGTAATTTTGTTAATTTTGTTAATTTTAAGATCGTGAAGCTGTAAAGACAGATGAAAAGCCAAAGAGGAAAGGTAACATTGAACATTGTAATACACCATTTTTATGCCATTGGTCTTGGAACTAAATGTAATGTAATTAGTCCTTGTTCTTACTGTGGTGCAATGAATTGATTTATGTACTTGTGTTGTCTCCAGGTCTACCCAGATTTGCAGGTCTGGGGCCACAAATCAGGAGGATCAGAAGAACTCCTATTATTCTCGAAGGTGCTCAAACTTATGGGCATATAAAGGTCTTACTATGAATCAGAAAGTTAGGACTGAGTTTAAATAAATAGGTCAACATTTTCAGAAATACACCGCTTCCCTTATCTGTACATTAAATGTAAGACCACAAATATGAGGCTACAGACTATGAGACGAACTTTCATCAAGACCTGAAACAGGGGAGAACAGCTGGTCTGTATCTGTTCAGAGGTAATTAAATGTGCCTTACAGCAACAACAACTTTCACACATTATATCTGTTCAAAACGTACCAAATCCAAGCTGTGCAAAGCAACAATTCACAGGGGGTTGTGTGACAGACAAACAAACTAGAACTAGATATAACATGTTAATTAGAGAGCTTTTGTACCTGTGGACAAAGCCACTGTTTCCAGTCTTTATGTTAAACTAAGCTAATTGGCTGCTAAACAATCCTATGAACAATTACAAGCCGCTGGCTTTAAAATAAATATCCAGATCAGTTGTTGTACTTGACATGTGTGTCTGTCATTAGTTCATATACCTCTCAAATGACACATTTTCACAATTTCTGTCACATTTTGAATTAATGGGATATTTTCTCCTTTAATTTTCAAAAGCCAAGAAAATGGAAAAGACCAAGACTTCCAAAACAGGTAAGTGAATGAATCAGGTCACATTCATACTCATTCTCTTGTAAGAGCCAGTAAACGTGTTTTAATTGAGATGTAAACCACGTAAATACTATTGTTGTCAAATCAGTTAAATTTATTTAGCACAAATCACAAATAACAAATTTGCCTTAAGGGGCTTTACAATCTGTAAAGCATAAAACACTCTCTGTCCTCAGACCCTTGATTCAGATAAGTAAATCTCGCCCCCAAAATAGAGTAGAACAAAATAGTACAATATAAAGCATGTCCAAACTTTTAAGGAGGTTGTAAACATATGTGAAGAATGTGGATCCAGGAGTATGTTGAGCAACTCCAGGCCCTGCCAAACAGACCTGAGCCACATGACCTCCTCTCCATCATGGAGACCGGGAAGAGGACATAAACACTCAAGCACACCATTCACACAGATAGGAGCAAGGAAACAGAGAGAGAAAGAGAGAGAGAGACCTCTCAGGAGGGTCGATGGTCCAGCACAGAGAAGCCTGAGTGAAAAAAAGGAGAGAGAGAGAAAAGAGAGTGGCACACTGCTTGGACACTTGTCCTTGTGTGACCACAAATTAATAAAGTGTTAGAGAGACGTTGTTTTTTTTCATGGGGTTATTTTCTTTGACAGAGACCAAAAAACAAGAAGCAGTCTCAGAATCTGGACAAGAAGGTACAAAATCTGTTGTTTTCATTAAGACTGTAAAAATGTTTTAAAAGTACATATATAAGTGTAAATATACAGGGTATATCATTAGTAGTATATATCATTATTTTCAGTTGGCCCTTGCAGACCTGCACCGGTCTACTGCCCATCTCCACCTGGCTGGTACGGTAAGTGGCATAAAATTTGAAAAGTTATGTGGAAATAAAGTTATAACTCTGGAGATGATGATCTAATCTCTTCTATTTTCCTTCAAATGCCAACCTGCTTAAATGTCAAAATGTCAAATAAGTTGTGCATAGACTTTATTTTGTCAATTGTGCAATGCGTAGGCTATTGGATTGTTTATTATATCATTTATGCAATACGTAGACCATTAGGGGTGTGCAATATCTCATTGTGCAAGGACTGTGCTACACTTACTGCAGAGAATATAGCCGACAGGGTTGTTCAATCAAAAACTGCCATTGGAAGAAGGAGTTAATATGCTTTTATATAGGTACCTGTCTAATGTATATGAGAGCATGTGTCGTGCTGCATGAGAGTATGTGTTGAGAGATGTTTATTTTCTGTATTTTGTGTTGTCTTTGTAAAGCTGCAGAATGGACAGAGTCCAAAACAAATTTCCTTTCAGGGACAATAAAGTATATCTTCTCTTTTCTTATAAACTCTTCATCCTCCAGTTCATCACATCGTCACAGACAACCCGTACCCTCCTCCCACCATGTCAGGTATTTACACTAGTGATATCAGTAAAAGACAATTCCTTCAACATGTTTAGACTAGTGCGTTATACATCTTTCCATGTTTTTGTTTTTTTTCAGCTCCATCTGCTCCTGTTCTGACTGCTCACCCAGTCCAACCCGGAGCTCCACCACTGCAGCCTCTTTACCAGCAACCTCCACCTCCGCCGATGCAGCCTTTCTATGAGCAATACCAACCACATCCACAGCCAATGCAGCCTGTGATGCAGCCTCAACCAGAACCAGTACAGCCAGTACCACCAGTGGAACCAGTACAGCCAGAAGCCACAGAACAAGAAGCTCCTGTTAAGCCTGAGATCCAGAGTCCAGCTGCTGAAGCTAAGCCTGCTGTAACTCCAGTCCAGGGTGAGAAGATTTAGGAGATGATTTAATTTTTGATTTTTTTTTTATTATTTGTCCAAATCAAAGTCTGTATTGAATCAGATCCAAACCAAAACATACCCCTCTTTTTTCATACAAAAAACAAAAGTAGACTGACTTCATTTCCTCAGTTTTGTCACATGAGAAGATATAATCAAATATTTACAAAAATGTGAGGGGTGTGCTCACTTTTGAGAGATACTGTAGATTTCAACCTTTCAGTCAGTGTGATGTAACTATTATCTTTAATAATATCAGTGCTTGAAGTGGGCTGGAACGCCCTGGTACGCAGTACCAGCACCTTGACATTTTACTCTTTGGCGTACCGGGACTTCTTCCAAGCTGCCGGTCCTCTCCTCTGCCCTCTCCATATCAGGTTCTCTGGGCCCTATGTGACGCTCACCTGTTCCCGTTCTCGCCTGCCTGCTAATCTCTGTCGGCAGAAAGACACGAGGGAGAAGAGAAGCTTGGGTGCCTTTCAAGCAGCCGTCTGCTGAATGTAGCTCGGCAATGTCACTTGTCGTGAACTGACCAATCACAGCCTGGATGGGGCGAGACATTTAAAAGTGTTGACAGATAGGTGTCATTTACACTGGGAACGCTGGGGACAGGTCAGAATCAGAAAGACATCACCAAACTGTTGCATTCTTCATTTGTGATGCTATTCCAGGCTTTTACTGCAGCTTCTTTCAGTTCTTGTTTGTTTTGGGGTGTTTCTCCCTTCAGTCTCCCCTTAAAGAGGTGAAGTGCAGCTCTATTGGGTTAAGGTCAGGTGAATGACTTGGTCAGTCTGAAACCTTCCACTTTTCCCCCTGATGAAGTCCTTTGTTTTGTTGGCAGTGTGCTTTGGGTCATTGTCCTGCTGCATGATAAACTTCCTCCCCGTTAGTTTCAATGCATTTCTCCGTAAACTGGCAGACAAAATGTTTCTGCACACTTCTGAATTCATTCTGCTGCGACCATCATCAGTTACATCATCAATAAATAATGAGCCTGTTCCAGAAGCAGCCGTGCAGGCCCAAGCCAAGACATCACCTCCACGATGCTTCACAGATGAGCTTGTATGCTTCAGATCATAAGTTCCTTTCTTTCTTCACACTTTGGCCTTTCCATTACTTTGGTACAGATTAATCTTGGTCTCATCAGTCTATAAGATTGTGTTGCAGAACTTTTGCGGCTCATCTTTATGCTTCTTTGTAAATTTCAATCTGGCCTTCTGATTCTTGCTGCTGATGAGTGGTTTGCATCTTGTGGTGTGGCCTCTATATTTCTGCTCTCTGAGTCTTCTTCCAACAGTGGATTGTGATACCTTCACCCTGCACTGTGGAGGTCGTTGCTGATGTCACTTACTGATGTTTGGGGGTTTTCGTCACAGCTCTCACAATATTTCTGTCATCAAATACTGTTGTTTTCCTTGGCCGACCTGTTCAACGTCGGTTTCTGTCTTTTTCAGGACATTCCAAATTGTTGTGCTTGCCATGCCCAATATTTGTCCAATCTGGTCAATTTTCCTTCTTTTCTCAGCTTGACAATGGCTCGCTTTTCTCCCACAGACAGCTCTCTGGTCTTCATGTTGGTTTATCCTCTTTAACAGGAAATGTAGTCTTTATAGGTTTGAACCAAGGATGAAAACTTAGACTAGTCATGCAGAACTATTTAATGTTTGGACAATCAACCTAAAAGGCAACACCTGGGCAACAAGAAACATCTGTCAGTCACATGCTCCAATAGTTTTGCTCACTTGAAAAATGGGTGGGTTCAAACAGAGGGTGGTATGTCCTAAGTTGTTTAACACATCTGGATATGAATACCAGGAATGTTATAATATTTACTAGTTTCATGTTGTGGTTGAGGATGTGGGGGAGGGAGGGGGAGTACTGGCACCTATTTTTTTTCCACTTCAAGCACTGAATAATATAATATATAGATTTTATGAGAAATACAGCTTGCCTGCAAATTCGTGTGTCCCAAAATGTGCTCTACAATTGTATGTATGGAATTTGGTTTGACATTAAAAAATGTTTAGGAAATAGGAAAAAGCGCAGTCAAACATTTATCAGATTTGACCAGATAATGCTGCAGAGCTGTAAGATGATAAACCAGACTTACAGATGACTGTATGATGGAAAAAATGCCACGCTTTAGAGATAAAAAAAACATTTTCAAGTGTTAAATATAATGTCAAACATCAATACCAAGCAAAATGGTATAAAATCCTCTTGCTATGCACCACAGAGGTAGAACAAACTTCCAGAAAGTATAAGACTCCCCAAAGACCAATAACCAATAAATCCAGGTTAAAAACTTTTATTTACATATGAAGATTAAGCACTGATTATTTTCCACTTGGCACTTCCATCTTGACCTTAGTTTTTGTCTTTATAGTTTATAGTATAGCTTTAGCTATACTATAGTCTTTATAGTTTCTTTTTAAATAGTTTCTCTTATTTAAGTATTTACTTTAACATTTACTTAATGAACCACTTTGACTTTGACGAAATGTTTTCTATAAATAACCTAAGCATTACCTTCCAGAGGTTTAGGAAGGAAATCTAAAAACTCTGAACAGAAAAAACTGGTAACACTTTCTATGAAGGTCATCACTATAATGACTCATGCATATATTTATAACACGATATAATGCATCCATTAGACATTATAACAGTTGTTATAATCACTTACAAACATGCATTAGGCGCTATAGAAAAGTTCATAACGTATTATGACCTTTTGATTTAATGTTTTATTACTAATACCAGTTTATATCAATGTGAAAAAGTGAAAAGAGTAAATTATGTTTTATTTTAATCAAGATATTCACCAAACTGAAAATGCACCTTCAAACTGTAATGGCATAATGTACTGTTAAAAACTTGTAAACACTTTTGAAGTAATCTTTGGAAACTTTATAATTTACAATATAAACACATAGCTAGAATAGATAGAATATGAATGAATTAAATAAGAAATGTTTGTGTAGTAACATTAAATTCAGTCCTTGCTTTTGAAGATAGAACTAAAATCTTTTCTTTTAAAGAACCAGAGACTGTTGAGGAAGAAGAGAAAGCTGCTCCCACCAAGAAAGGTACAAACAATTTACAATTTATGTTAAACTCTCACACATAATTATTTTTCTCTTAATTACTGCAGTGAACAATATTTAAATTTATATTTACATAATGCATTTTCCAGCTGCAAAGAAAAAAATCAAGGCGGCTGATTCAGAAAAAGGTACAGTATGCTTCCACTTAAGGCTTCATTTGTTAGTACTAAACTGGAAAATTCTCCTTTAACAAAACACAGCTGCAGTATTTAACAGTGATGTACAATGACATAATGTGCTGTATGAATGCATCCATTCAGGAAAATTAACTCTGCATGGCCATTTCACTCTAATTATCCCCCCAGAGCCAGCAGCCGGCAAAGAGAAAACAAAAAAAGGTAATTTATGTTTACAGCTCCGTAATTTAGTGTTTTCAATTGCGTGTGAAAACACTAAATTACAGAAATTGTGTTGTTAAAAATGATAAAGACAGCAATACGAGCTGTGCTTTGCTGTAAATATACAGACAGAATCACACACTTCAGTATGATATGAATAACGTTATTGAACACATTTTGCCAGTTCTAGATGCTGCTGTTTCTAAAGACAAAACCAAAGCTGGTGCTGCAAAGAAAGGTAAATAAAAACTGTAACTTACTATGGTTATCTTATGGAATATTAATTTTAACTGAACATATACTGCACTTATTAAATATTTTGTGTTACAGAACCAACAGCAAGAAAAGAGAAAACCAAAAGTCCTGCAGCGGCTAAGAAAGGTAATGAACATTTTGTTTCTTCATCACATAAGTAAAAACAAGGTCCTTGGAAAGTTACGATACTTCAGGTGAAAATGACTTTCAGACTGTATTCATTTATATTTTGCATCTTTGAGTCAGTTGCATTTGTTTTCACAGAGCCAGCTGTAAAAGGGAAAACCAAAACTGCTGCAGCTGATAAGAAAGGTAAACCATCATTAGGCCAGAGGGTGACATGGAAATAGTAAAAGTTCAGATATGATATGCAAACTGACACACACAAACTTCCCTCCCTCATTTGAAGGAGCAGCGAATATTTCACTAACAAAACTAATTATTCAGGCCACTAATCGGATCTCTTTCCTCATTATGTTAGAGCCTGCAGCTGTACGGCAGAAGAGGAAATCAACCTCTCAAAAGATAGGTAACCACACACACTGACATTCATTCATTTGCATAAAGTCAATCATCATTCATCATTCACCGCCAGTGACATGAAGAATGATTGGAAACTAATTGCTTTTGCCTCCCAGTATCACCTGTCAGGAGCAAATCTAAAGCATCTACAGCAAGGAAAGGTAAAACTCTTAACATATAGTACATGAGTTCACATATAATAAGTTTAAGATTTGGTTTTGATAATCCAACTTAGCCCAGTTTCTCATTTGAATTACTAACATGCAGATGCCAAACCAGAATTTGGGTATATAAATATAAATCTAGGTATCAATTTGTCTTGAACAGATCCAGATTCAGAACCACGTCCTCAGCCGATCAGACTGAGAACGAGACTAGAAGCTGTGAAGAGGGCGAATGTAACCTCTCAGGCAAAGGAGGAGAAACCTGCCAGATCTTCGTCTGAACCAGGTAACACGTCAGGGAGTTGCTTTACTTATGCAGAATATCTACCTTGAGCATTTAGGATTTCACCGACCTGTGGAGCAGAGCAGGACTCTTGTAATAGTGAAACCTGCAGCTCTTCATTTGTGTCATTTTATTTTCAGCCAAGGCGAGATCAAAATTATTGGCAGAAAAGAAAAGTAAGTGTACATTTTGATATATGTATGGACACTTGTTGGTTTACTTTTGGATTAAATCAATATTTTACAGATAAAAAACACCACTGTTTTTTGAAATGCCAACGGCCACAGGCGTCACGTACTGTTTAACGTTTTAGAGGCATTTTCCTTTAATTGTCAGTTGACAGGGAATGTGTACAGGGAGAAATAGGGAGTTACCAACCAGGGATGCTACGGTTAATGTGGTATGCATTTTAGCCCCTAGACTGCTGTGATGCCTCAAAAGTTTCCATAAATGTTTTAATAAATCTTTTTTAAGCCTTTTTGTTCCAACTATGACACTGAAATGCAGCAAACAAAATCATTCATTTAAAGACTAATGGCAGCGTCATCTACCTTTTTATCATTCGTCATGTTCATTAATGTTCTTGTAAGTTGTCTATTCAACTTCCTGCATTGAAAAGACAAAATCCTGAATTAAATTTGAAGGATAATTCTACATATATTGAAATGATGATGACTGAAATGTCTTCGATTAGTGGATGCACATGAGCAACCTTTTTATTTAATTGATAGTCATGTTATAAGGATTGTGTGCTCCTCCTCAAGATATTAGAATCAATTTTCTGATCATGTTGACAGCTTGACAACATGTGAAGCAATTTTTATAAAGTGTTCTTTGGCTCTGGAAGAAATTCTAAGAAAATGAACAGATGAATTAATGTCATGAGCATAAGTCTAACAGTGGATGAGCAGGCAAGGGGGTGGATTTTTCTCAAAACAAACTATTTTATATTTGGGATGTGGTAACATTAAGTCTCTGCTGACATCTTTCAGGACAAATCACCTCTTGGAAACACAGTTGCACATTATGAGATTAAATGGGATGTTTTATGCATGATAAAGTTGTAATTAGGAACATGTCAAGCTGTATTACACCGAGAGGGGAATAATATTGCAAGAATATTAAATGCAAAACGCAATTATGGAGAGTTATTTGGCAGGCTGTAATAGGGCTGTCTCTCCTCTTGCAGACAAAGCAGAGAAGGCTGAAAAGAAATCTGTCAAAGACGCTAAAGGTATGGATTCAGAATGAGAAAGTGAATCTAATGTGTGTCCTGTACATTTGATGTTAATCAGTCTCTCTCCACTGCCTCCCACTCTCACTTATTACATAAAGAGAAACGACCAACACAATCTAGTGAGTATGAGAGCATCGAAGTTTGAAGATGTTTCATTACAAGCAGCCTCATCAGTTCTATTGATTGGCCAGGATTGGTGTCACCTGTCAGATGTTAAGATCACCTGGCTGTTATGTCACAGTCACATGATTAAGAAAGAATTAGTGTCAAACTGCCCGTCACACGGTGTGAGGCTCTATTGTTTGAAAGAGAGCTTTCTTCTCTCCTTTCAGAGAGTAAAAAACTAAAAGCTATAATGTTTCTAGACGTGCTAATTAGTGAACCTTCAAATCTCTCATTACAGCAATACACGGCTGCATAAAACTGCAACCTAGAGGCAGCATTCTCTGCTTGGCTTCTTTTCCTGGTGCCTCCACTGAACCCTGTCCCCATGAATTCCATTGATCAGCAACTATTTTGCAATGTTGTTAGTGGCAACCTTTAATTTAATTGGAGGAAGTGGTTTGAGGGTTTCATAGTGCAGCGACAACCCAAAATTCAACAAAAATAAGTGGTCTGTTTATGCCCTCCAGAACAACTGATGAAAGCATTTTGTGATCTGATGTCCTCATTAGTAGAAAAAAAAACTTTTTGAAATCTATTTTATGTTACCTGACAACACTGTGATTGAGGTTTGGTTAGCTTAAGGTAAAAAACCCTGTTAGGTTTGGAGTTCATGGTCTTGGTTAAAATAAGTACTTTGTTAAGTTTAGAGGAGCTTTGTTGTCACAGTGCAAACAAAGACTTGGTTATGATAGGGAACCATAGTGGTCATGCTTAAAGACAAAACAGCTGATATGAGATATATAGAGCTGCCTCCAGTGCTAAAGTCTGATGTTTTGGTTGACCCATCAGACTTTTGCCGAAACAACTGATGCTGTCTTCTTGGGACACAATGCCTCCAAAGAACAACAGACAATTCTGCTTAAAAAAAACTGACTGAACATGTCTGTTGCCCGTGTATATATCCTTGCAAGCTAATCAGAGAAATGACAGGTAGGTGCATAGGCAGATGGAGGTCAGGTGACTGGGGAAGAGCAGAGAGAGCTGAGGACAACTGAGGGGGAATGACAGGAATGGTTAGTGGCAGGTAAACAGGCAATGGGTAATAAGTAATTCAAGTGATTGCTAGATACATTAAATCATGCTTAAGCAAGTGCAAAAACATTGTTAAAAAAACAAATGAATGAAGAATGCTTTGTATGTGTTGATAAAAAACATAACCTGATCAATAAACTCTGTGTACTGATAAGAATGATAACGGGGTTAAGTTGTTCCACAAGTGCAACAGTATTAATAGGAAAGTTTGGAAGATATCAATCATGCCCACACAGCCCTGAGAAGACTACTCAGTGAACATAAGTGCACCTGTGTAGGTGGCTGTACAGTGCATTATGGGAGCTTTAAGATAATGCCTAATAGTTGCATATGAATGCATTTGTTTTGAGATATAGTAGTCTGTATTAACCATCAATCAATAAAACTGATAAAGCCCCTTGGATAATTATATAACCATATTCAGTACTAAAACAATGAATCAAACTTAGTCCTTCTAGCTGTACTATCACCTGGATGACTGAGAATCGGCAGAGACATAATGTAATGTTTGATTACAGTAATGTTTAATACCATATGCTTGTTGTTCATAGAGAATGGAAAAAGAGCTTCCTGTAAAGCCTAAGGTATTGAGTTAATTTCTACCATCTTTCCACTGGTTAACTCAATACGAATAGACATTCGCTTTTAATGACATTAGGAACATAAGTGATTAGAATTTAATGAGATGAGCCGATTGAGACGAGATTATGGCCGAAATTTGAGCTGCCTTGAGTCATTGCATGAGATTATGGCCTTTGATGAATATAGCAACAATAATACTTAACTGGATTGATTAAGTCCATGAACCAAAACCCATTAGATTGGGGTATTAGTGTTCTGTTCTTATTGAGTCATCCAGTGGAGCATCAACACTCCCCCACAGCCCAGAGTGACTCTACACTGTCCTTATATTAACGCCTGACACAGAAGATCCTGTTTCTTAGGATGTGATCAAAAATAGTTTGACTTCTTTGACCCAAACTTACATTTATAGGGTTGCTTTGCTGGATTTTTTTTGCTGCAACATGCGCCTGTCTGAATGAAGATGTTTATTTGTTCCTACTTTGTGGACACCACCAATCACTATTCAGATGGTCTGTAGTATTTGAAAGATTTCCACCATGAATCAGAAAGTTAAAGTCAAACTGAAATGGGAATTCTCCTCACTATTTGTGATAATATAGCTGTTGTACATTTTCATTGTATTTGTCAAAAGAGGATAAAACTGTTTTGATAAAACAATGCGATAGCCTCAAAGCCTCTAAGTGGGTGTTTCCCACTGCATTGATTGACTGACACCTAGTGAGCTGGCATTGCTAAGAGTTGGTGTGGTGAGCTACTGACTGGAGAACAGGTAGAAATGAATATTTATATTCAACATTTATCTACAATTAGCAATTTAATGGTGTCCCTGTACAGCATTCAACATTTTGGCAGACCCGTTGTGCTTTCTTTCCATTCAAAGAGTGGAAGCCAAGGTTGCTAATATTATGTTAGCACTGAATCCTAATAATTGTTACTCTTCATGCTGAGTACCATTGGTGAACTCAAACGTGCTCAAATAGGAGAACATGAAAATAAGGGACGCCGTCATTGCAGAAAAACATTATTTAAATGTTTTGTGTTTGTTAGTGGCACACTAAAAGGAAGCACACAAGTCAAACAAACATCAGGGAAAATTATGTTGACTGCTAGCAAACATTCAATTTCAGCTGGACTTTAACAGGAGAATGAAAGAGCACAAGAATACAAAAGAACCGCACAGCCTGTTGTTTGTATGAAACCCTTTCTTCTCTTTCCAGGCTCTCTCTCCTCCTTTCCCCACTTACATGCATGTCCACACTTATCTTTTGTCTTCCTTCTCTCCCACACAAACACACATACCAACAATATATCAATATATTTATATATCAATATCCTATTTCTTGCAGAAGAGCCTCTTGCTGATGACAATACTACAGAAAAGAAGAAACCAGGTATGAGTTGCTGAAATTTCACAAGACATTAAAAAAAAATTGTAAGGTGGTTACCAAAAAAGGTTTTAAAAAGTAAGTAAAGTAAAGTTGTTTTGTTTGAACTTGTGCAAACCTGTATCAAAATGGAAAGTACTTAGATGCATATGTTTTAATGATAGCTGACAGAATAGTGAGGGAAGAGAGACATGCAACAAAGGTCCCCAGCTAAAATTAAAGCAGGGCTGTTGCGGTTACATGGCATGCACTTTAACCATTCAGCTACCAGGAGCACATAATGTAGGTGTTTCTTTGCCTGAGCCATAATCTACACGTAGGCCTAATGGGGATATTCTTCTTTAAATTTTGAGTAGCTGTATTTTGTATTACTTTTTGGAACCAGGAACTCCTAGAGGTTTTGTTAAATTGTTATCTCAGTTTGGTTTCAGTCAATACTTATTTTACTTTGGGTTAGAGTTCAAAATTGACATATTAAGAGCTCCATATTAAAAAGTGGAGCTCCCCTTTACCACCAGTATAATCCACCATCATCCTCTGCCTATATTCATTTTCTTGTAAAACATCCCCAATCTGACTCATCTATCCATCTCACCTTGCTGTCTTCACAGGCCAAAGATACTTCCAGTGCATTTATGTCCCTGGTAAAAATGCACAGTACCCCTTGCGACCTTTTACCCCAGCCATGTCCCCCACCATGATCTCTCCTGCACTCAGGTCCATGTTGGAGCAGCAGAGAGCAGCGAGGGCGTCGGGGCAATAGGACAACCTGAACTCTCGCCTCATGTTTAATAGCACTGCATCTCCCAGTCCAGCAGGGGGAGATATTTTAAATCTGTGAAATCCTTAAATTCTGAGGAAAACCACAGACAAACAGTCAAGAACAGAACTATTTTGTCTTTAATTTATTTATGTTTTTTTTTTATTGTCTGTGTGGTTGAGCTCCTGGGGTTTCTGTTGATTTTTTTTGCATTTTCGTCTCAGTTGATGCTTCGTCGTGTTTTACTTCACTAGTTGTCACTGCCAGGCCTTGCTTAAGTCTTGTGTCTTATAATGTAGTATAAAATCACAAACACCCAAACATGAAGCAATCATGTGAATATTTTTTTAAGTTAGTATAATGTACATAATGCCTATATCTATAATTTAAGCTGAAAGATACATACACACTGTTGGCATGATGTTTTTCGGTTTACTTTTGCAGTCCAGTTTAATATATACTTTCTGTTTAATTTAACATTTATACTTTAGTATAAGTGAACAACATTATTTTTTAGGTTTAAAAGATATGTCTTTTCAGCTGCACATCATATGTGGAAAAGGAAAAAGAGTGTGATAATCACAAAAACTCCAAAAACTCCAGACACTATTTTAATTTAAATGTTAATGATGAATTGAACTTGTATTGGATTTGAATAGGATTAAATACTACTTGAAAAGGCACGTTGCATATTTTATCTATTTTTTTGTTTATTTTTTTACAATAACACCTATACATATCGGTCCAGAGAATTACATTTCATGAACTGTAACTCAACCACTGATTTAAAGCACCAGTATCCTGCGTACCGTGACAAGACCAGTTAGCAACGCGTTAGCATGCAAATGTCAAATCCCAGGAGCTCCCACAGTTGATCCAAGCAGCCTCCCTGTCTCTGCTCATGAGTGTGAGCGTCCATTGGTCTCATCAACATGTTAAATGTTGTTGAGAGATGAATTATGACATTATCTTCTTAGATGACCTAATATCAGGCAGGAGTAAAGCTTGAGCTTGTCTCAGCCTTATTTGCTTGAAACTGCAGTACATACTACAGTATGTACCTCACCTTAACATGCTTCGTTTAAATTAAAGGCACTTCAGTTTACTTAGTTTAAACTGATACTTTGACATGTTAAATGGAATTGTTGGGTGTTTTTCATTTCCAGACACAAGTTTTGTGTGTTTTAATGTCTGTCTTTAGAATAAGTTGCTAAATTAACTTGAAGTTTAAGTTTTCCGTATATGGTCCCCTCATCTGATATTAATAATCATTCAATACTTGAATACTGTTGTTTTTTTGATTGGCCTTTTGTTTCTTTTTCCTTTGCTAATCTTTAAACCTCAAATGTTCTTGATGATGTGTCAGCTTTATGAATGAAGTGCAGTCCATTGAATCAATGGAGCACATGTCATATTGCTGCATATTTGATCACGTAGGATCTCAAACTGTCTTAGACACAAATAGCCTACCAGTTATTTTGATTTAGCATGCTCAGAGACAGGGAGTCTGTACATGACTTTGATGTGACCAACTAATGAGACACTGTGATGTCTACTACAGTGGATAAATGTCATTTGTTTCATGTTAATCATCAGCTTCTTTACTAAGTCTGATACATTGTCATATTTTCAGTTACCTCACTCGCTCTGGTTTTGTACTTTACCAACAAGGCTCACTTGTTGTTGCTGCAAAACTGTTGCTGAGCATAAACGGCAATTTGCTGTTGTCTTACTGAATGAAAACCTCAACAGAAAAGAACCAAAGGGGGTTTTCACACTAGGATAAATCCTGTGATAAGTCCCACATTAATACAAGGCCTACTGTAGTGTTCGCCCTCAGCTAACAGTTTATTCACACTTAAAGGTCCTGATAATCCACGAGGTGTCCTGATATAATTCCTCCATGTTGATGAAGTTCAGTTTCACCTGTGAGTGACATGGTGACATATCATAAGGCACTCATAACTTGTGGACTGACTTTGAGCAGTTATTTAACTGCAGGCTGATGTTTGAGGTGTGGCAATAATGTAGGGCTACCGTACCTTTAGCCTACGGCTTACTGATACTCATTGTGTTGCAGGTCTGTCCACAACTTTTCAGGGTTATCCCCAAAAAGTCTTAAGGTGTGTTCAGACTGAACCCAAAGCTAATGTCAGAGGTGATGCAAATGCATACAAAGTCAATGGAAAAATGTGAGTGGATATGGAAAGATGAAGATTCAATCTAGGTAAAGCAAACTAAGGTGAATACGCATCTGAAAATGCTTCCACTCCAAACTTATCCTGCAGCTGCAGAGACAAGAGGAAATTAAGAGCAACTTGGGAAAAAAATAACAGAGAACTTGAGTTCCTGTTGAGTTTTAATTGGCATGAGTCCGAGTCTGAGCTTATTGCTATCAAGCTAATAGCACCAGCTAACCCCTGCAGAGTTTGTTAATTGTACAATAAAACGAGGCAAAATTGCTTTATGTTCACTCTGAATGCACCTTTAAGATCACTGGTGTGAATCTGAGTTAGAACCAAAGCAATGGGATGTCCAATTACATCTCTGCTAGTTGTTTGCTATTAGCATACTGAACACGTTAACTAAGGGCTCTGATGTTTGAGTGTGAATATTTAACCTGAGGCTTGATGTAAACTCTGGATTAATAAGTCCAAGTGTGAAATGAGGTTAAGCTAGCCCTGAGCTTTCTGTCGGTCTGCTGGGTTAATGTCAACAGGCCCAGGCAGAAATGTTGTTAAGAGTCCTCATGTTTCTTGGCCAAATGAGTTCTGCCAACCATTTACAGTGGCAAACTACTGAGTGTGTGTGGTTGTTGGAGTGGCATTTGAAAGACACCTGGCGTCTGTTTACTTCAGGTGTTGTTATTCATAGATGAATAATTTTTATAATGAATTCCAGTGGGGAGATGCAGCAGCAGGTTGGTGCTCTGTGATGTCTGGAGGTCCTAAAATGTCAGCTGCTCTGCAGCTGTGTGATATTAACAGACAGTAATTACAACATACAGCAGCAGTTTTGTGCTGTAATTATGTTTTTAAATCTTAACTAATCTAATCTAATCTCAAGACTATATACAACAGGTTTCATAGCTTTCATTAGTATTGGCGTGAACCTTAAAAGTGGAATACTGGATTTGCCCTTTACTATAAATCTGTGAATACATGTTCTAAATATAGGTGCAGAAATTTGTACATTGCTGTTATGAGCAAGGCAATTTCCCCCCTGCATGTTGTCATCTGCTGCAGTTTGGAAAGGGTACAGTGTGTGCTCTTATCAATATGTTTGATTTTAGTTTTTCAATAGTTGCTGAACAAGTTACACAGAGACCATGTTTTATTTAGAAAACATTTTGGACTGGGTTTCCCATATTTGTTTATCAGTGACTTAGTATATTTTCATAATTTTATGTATTTTCACAGTCTAACGCTCTTAAAGTCAATACTAGTTTTTACAATTCTTCAGTACTCTCCACTTAATCAACCTGACCACTTGCCATTACAGGTTTTCTCTGGAGTTTTTGACCACTAGGAGTGCTGTAGAGCAATATTTCAAGGAAGACATACAACACAAATAAAATTTAGCTTGAAACCTTTTGCTTGCTATTAAGTCAATGAATCAAAGCTAATATTTTTGGACATGCGTAACTTGTTACATGGTTACTAGTCTAACTAGTAGGTTAACTGGGTTCTCTGAGAAGTGAGTGAGGTTTGAAAGAGAAATACCCAGTTTCTAGCATGGCTTGCCAGTCACATTACCTTATGTTATAGAAAAGGTATTTATTTCCTTTTAAATGACAGAGACGAGTAATGCTCTGTAATATCCCTGATTTCACATGATTCCCATTAGAAGAAACACAGCAATAAAAGAGGAGAATACTGCAAGTTGATGCAAAGAACACAGTTTTTAAAACATTAAAACATTAAAATTATTCATTGAAAACTGTTCAAAGTATCTTTAACATACCAACTAAACCTATAGCTATATTTAATTTACTTTAACATTAGCATAAACAGATATCAATCAGATATGACATCTTTGCTATTGTTCTTTGGAGCATATGGGTCGATTAAGAAACGCGACCTGTTTAGAGCAAAAATGTCACAGTGAAATATGATCTAATGATTAAATTGGATTTGAGCATTAAGTTTTGCAGTAGAAGGCATCTAGTGAAGTTAATTTGAGACCAACATACTTGATAGAGTGATAGAATAATATAAAACCCAAATCAACTCATAGTGCTTTTTTCATTAAGACATATGGTGAAGACTAGCAGTGTAAAAAAAGGGAAACAAGCAGTAAATGTTGGTATCATGCAGTATATGATATGGCTCTTGTTTATAGCACAGTGTGACAATGATTTGCTGGTTTTCTTCCCTTCCCTAAGGAGGAGTCAGGCGATTTTAAACCAGATTCATGCCATGTGTGAACCCTGGAGGAAAATGTATTTTAGTTTCATACCTGCTTCAGAGTAAATGTTTTTAAAAATACCTTTGTAATGGGTTTCACTAAAGAGGTGTTACTAAATGTCATTTAAACTCTTCTGTTCACTTCATATTTGCTGATGTTTAATCACCAAAAACGGTGCCATCATGGGCTTGTTTTTGTGAATGAAATCTAAAGTATTAGTCTGAAAGGTTTCAAGATTTGAATTCAGTCAGAGATATGAAGATTGCATTTTAATTTCAGCACTAAGAACAGATTTATTGCCGTGGTGTTTTTGAAACAATTTATTTTACACTGAACAAATACAGTTTGAGGTTGTTTGGTTTTTTCAGAATGATCAGTTATTTTGTTAATGATTTCTTATGCAGTTTGCATGATGGTGTAATTTAAAGGAAGACAGCGTTACATTTTTGAGCTGTGAGCTCAGTTGTAATTCAGTTTCACACACAAACACCTCTCTGCAGTGTAAAATACACATTAGCCAACAGTCAGTCAGATGCTGTAAAAAGACTGTAGATAATAGTTTATTTTATTTGTTGCACTGGAGACTGATCACCTAATTAGGTCTCACACTGAAAGAGATATAGATTAATTCACTGGTTTGCTCAGAAAATTACAAGGGATTTTTTTTTGTTCAGTATCATCAGACTGTCATGTGGGTGATCATTTTAACTAATTTTCAAAAACAGACAGTATAAACTACCAGTTGCATGTATTATAAATCAGGGGTGTACGATGTAGTCACATGTTAAGCCTAGCAGCCAGACTAAATCGCAGTTTTAAACATTTCTGGAGCCAATTAAATGTCATAAGAGGCAGTGTAGGCTGCTAAAATGGCACTTAAGGGACTCTACTGAGGATGTCTGCTGTGGTAATATGTAGAATACAATCACCAAAATGAATTTTGTGAGTCATAATTTCAATAAATACTTGCCGAAATTTGTGAGGCTATTACTGTGTCTTTTGTTGTTTTTTTTTTTACAAGCTAGAATAATTATTGAAATACTGTTGTCATGGGGACACAGATGAGCATTTCAGCCATTTCAACACATTTAGTGGGCTAAACAGAACAACAAACATGACAAATTAAAACCTGCCTGGTCAGGGTATAATGATGCAACCCTGTCTCCTGTGAAATACAAATACACACCAATTTACTTTGCTGCCTGAAATACATTTTTATCAACATAATGATAAAATTTTCATGTTGACATCCACAAGCATTTAACACCAAAGTTTTAAATCTGTTTTCCCTACAAAAAGTAATATATATATATATATATCAACGTAAACATTGAGCTGAAGTGGATGCACTAAGCTTTTGACTTGAACACCAACCGCCTCTTTATGCTTATTGATTACTTCATACTTCAACAAAATATTGCTAATAAACAAACGCTGGGCAGCAATCCCTTCAGTCCACCACATATTAGCAATAGCAAATTAAGGTCATGAATGTACTTTTTGTACAAGTGACACGTCTCCCCATAAATCAAACCTATATTTCAGTGATGTTTAAAAGCCAACAGTGTTAGTGAAAAATAATAAGCTCATGGCAAAGCATCTCAAAGTGTTTGAAATTGTGGATTCAGCAGCAGGGATTGGTAGCATTGTAACGACAGAGGTTGTGTTTAAGTTCTAAAAGATTTTGGGATTAGAATGGTTTCAATATTTTTGAGAGAGAATAAAAACCAGCCCGAAACAATCATAATCACCGAGCCTTGTCACTCCAAAGGCCAATGTGGACTTGAACATGATCAAGTCCTCTTTGATGGGAAACAGTCACCAGTCAGCTTTCACAATAAACTCAACTCAAGAAAAATTTAGGTCATTTGTTTGGTTTTAAACAGTTTTTATTCTTTCACAATTTTATTTTTTCATTTGATATTTGAAAGATTTTGCACAATGATATTGAAACAATTCTAGTCCCATTTCTATGACACAGGTTTAAAAATATCAGATGTACTTTCCATGTAAATTGTGAATTATATATTGCTGCTACTACAACGACTACAATTTAACATGGCTTTCAGCCTAAAGCTGTTTATACACTGCACGATTTGGGTCCATTTTTGACCTGATTTTCGAGCCCCACTACTAATTTTAGAGTCGGGCTGAATTTCAATTTTGTCCGGCGTTGTTTGCCTTGCATGTCAGAAATTTCGGTCGGCTGTTGTCAGCCTGTCGCACAGTTGAAGCAGAGCAACGATAACGATGGACAAGCTATACAGTCCACATCATCCTAGCCACCTACGCCTCTGTTTTATTTATTTATTTTTGTACGTTTTGGCACACAGGATGGCACAGATGATCAAGGGAGTACATTTCTGCCTTGTTAGCATTATTGCTAGCAAACAAACTTCTACCTGCATCTGTATCCAACGAAGGTTAAAATCAAGGGCAACTGGACTTGGTTGAAGATACTGGAAGACGTTTCGTCCCTCATCCAAAGGACTTCTTCAGTTCTGACTGACTGGCAGGGAAACTCAGCTATTTAACCTCAGTGGGGTCTTGGCCTGCATCTGGGCTTTCAAACAAATCTTTATTGACAAATGTCAATAGCCAGATTGTCTGCAGGGCTGACAGGCTGACAGCCTATTTTATACACGTACAGTGTGAGCACTCAGGTCATGGCTTGACAATAAGATACGTATGTAAATTCTGACCTTTGGCTTTACATCACAAACAAATTACTCGTTACTTCTAAAATTGTACAGTGCCTAACTTAAGTGACTTTAAACAACGGGAAACAGGTAATAGTCTTGATTAGGGATTCACTGTAGCTGCAGGTAGGATCGTTACATCTCAAGCTCCTGTCTCTACTGCCAAATACTATGTACTGATTGTTAATGGACAGAAATAGTTGAAGTGGTGAGACAAGTCTTAAGACACCAAAATAAGAGAAATGAGATAGTAAAAAAGAGAAATGAGAAAGAAAAACTGCGTGTGTCCATATTTATTTTGCTTGTTTCACATAATGCATTTCAGCAAATTGTCTTTGAGGACATTTACACATTTAACACCTGCTAACTGAACAGTATTTGCTCCTAAAATAGACTGGCTTTCCATAATAACTTCACAATTCAGTTTTGAGTTTGGTCTCCCTGCAGCTCCTACTGTAACTATACAATCAAAGAACAGTGATATGGAAATTAAATAAATATATCACCAACCGAAAGTTATGCATTCATTTTCTGAAAATTATTAGTCATTAAAAAAATGTCATTCAGTGTCAAAATCCTCAAAGCACATATACTTAATTATGATAAGAAGCAATACATTGGATTTTTAATGGAAGAGGTGGCTTTGGTGGAGATAAATCAGACATTAGTCAATGAGAAATAAATCTCAAGTCCAATCTCTTACAAGAAACTACATCGTTGTAAAAACTGCAGTACATTGGCAAGGCTTGTGATAGAGTTTGATTCCATAATGATGCAGTATTGTGAAGATAAGTGCTTCAACATTAATTAATAAATCAGATAAATGGGACTGATTAATTGAAATTTTCCATGTGTGAAATTATTCGCACAGTTGGCGTTTTTTTTATCACCATAAAAACCTCTTCATGTGAACATTTGAACACTAACTGATCTTTCCAGTGCATGAACTGTAACTGGTGCCAGTTTTACAGTACACATCTGTCAATTTGAAAATGTAGTTCAGCGTAGTTTAGGTTGGCTGTTAGACTCAAAACAGTGTGTGTGCATGTGCATAACTGAAATTAGACATTGACTTTTCCCCTTTTGACAAATGAACCATATGAATGCAGCACATAGGATTATTACATATATATATCAGTATACCAAAATAAAGTTAAAATGAACAGAGTAATCATATTTAAAAATACCAAATCTATATTTTCAAATACTGTATTTTAATCATGTGTTAAAGAGCATGCACATCCAAAAACAATTCACAGCTCCTGGATGAAATGTAAAGTTTGTCGTTGTTATTCTCCCATACAAAGTAATTCAGTCCCACCAACAAGATATGATGTCAATATAATGTTTTGGGCTACAGTACATACTGGAGAAGGTGAGAAAGCTTTGGCGTAAAAGCAGTCAGGTGTGTTTAGATGGACCTGTTTTTATGCACATTTTCAATTTACATTACATTTGGATGGAAACAGAAAGAAATAGGTGTGAGTACTGGTCTTGGAATGTAATATTTAGTGTGGTGTGGATATTATTCCTGTGATCACGTGCTATGTTGGTCGGAATATAAGTTCAGTTTTCTGTGCTGTTTGTAGTCTGAAGGAAAGTGTGGAGCTGGAAACCTCACACCAAGCAATAACCAACAAGGCTGAAAGTTGAAATTAACATATTAGTACCTTTAGATGTGGTCACTCTGACTGTATTAAAATTAGTGGCTCGGTCTCAGAATAAAAAAAGCAATAGTTTCACACATCAAGGTGATGTATAAAAAGTTAATTTCACAATTTATGACTTAATTAAGAATTAATATTACATAAGGAAGCTAATAAGGCTTAAACCAGGCTATGCTTGGGGTGAACCTGTTTGATTTATACGTGTTTTAGTGCTTTACCACTGCTTGCTCACCACAGAAATATGAATTTTCTTGCTCCAAACAGCTGACCAGGCCCTTCTCACAAAAGCGATTTGTGAGCAGGTAAATCTGTCCTTCAGGGCTCCTGTTTGCCCATGCATGGGTCAGTGAAGCCAAAGTTAACGGAAGCAGAAATGACCTCAAGCTGCAAATCTCAGCTTGCATGTTGCATTAATATTTCTCTGCAGTCTGTACGTGATTGTGACACCTTATTTTGAATGGAAGAATAACAGTATGTCGGCTTTACATTTCCTTTCATCTAAGCTGAAGTGAAAAATCAATGTGTTTATTATAAGACATTGTTGTTTAGCTAAATAAATGCAAAGACAAAAGTTTTGGTGACAGAAATGCAGTTTCCACTCAAAACCAGCACAGAAATGCATCATTTGTGTTCCCTTTTGTTAAGATTGTTGAATCAGAATTTTAGAGAAATCATTGAGGACCTCCAGGATGGCTTCCTGGGTGGCTTTTAAAATGTGAAAGTCATCAATACTGGTTTCAAAACATGTTTCTGAAATGTGTTCAGCAATACTTTGATCCAGGGTCAGCAAGAAAGACATTACAACAGCACAGAGAGAACATTCGAAATGCTGAATCTATTTTTTGTAAATAAAAACTCTTTACATTTCATACAACATATACCAATCTGTCACCTGTGTATTAAACAAGGTAGACAACAGTTTCAATAAAATACTGACAAAAAAAACCATTTTAAAAACCTTAAAGCAAAAGCATCACCCGATAAAATATATTTGTAATAAACTTAAAATCTTTACCTGTGTGTAATTGTGTTTAAGTTCCTCTACATACAATACGTTTTACAACAGAACAAAGCAGCCTCTGATATTAACCTCTAGTACTGCAACCTTAAAATAATCAGTGAACCTGCAGGACGTTCTCTGTGAGACTCCGCTAAACTCAGTTTTGCTATATTCAAGCAATATACAGATGTTTATTTAATGTAAACTTTGCATCCTAACAACTGGAAGCATCTACAGTGGCTGTGTGTATGTGTTTGTGTCCCTGTTTATGGTACTAATCTGTGGTTTCCTTCACGTTTACTTCTGACTGACATCGATACTGTAACAGCTCAACTGAAACCTGATTTTGCTGCCTGTAAATGTTCAACTGCATGTGTGTTATAACTGGGAAAAATTACGTGTCAGATATGTACTAATGCACGGAAATCATTTTAAAACACTTGATGAACATGATTTTCTGTTTTCACATTTGACGCACAGTTTATTACAGTCTCTCTGATGTGCACAAAACTGGCAGTTCTAAATTTCCCCTACAGTAAGTGCGAGATTGATTTAAACTGAAACAGTAATGGCTCTAATGCAAAATGAGAAGCCTTTATTTATTTATTTATTTTTTTATAAAACATGAATACGATTAATCATCTTAATGTTAATCTTAATTACATTTTAGGGGTGACACTATCAGGCAAATTCAAACAGAACATTCATTTCAAGATAGTTAGGGTGGCATAAATGGTGGCCGACTCATTGTACTGGACTTATTCTGCAGCCTAACGAGTAACACAAATGAGCCAACAAGTTTCCCAAACTGCTCTCTTTCCTCAGAGGACTGACTGTATTAAATAATATGACAATATCACCATCACATGTGGCAGATTGTTATCTCCATCTCACTCTGATTTAAATAGCGGTGGAACCAGACAGATCACACTGAGCCACAGAAGGAACCACCGAGGCCGCAGTCTAACTCGACTCCGTACAGGGTAGAGCCTCCGAGCTGTTGTAAGTGGGGTTGACATGTCATGTACGCTGGTGTGATAGTTTAACATTCCAGCTGTCTGCTCTCGTTGCAGCCGGCCACCTCACCCTTCCTGCCCGCCGGCCTTTCTGTGATCTGCTCGGCTGCGTGCCTGTCAGCCTGAGTGGCTTTTCCTCTGCTGCTCTGGCCATTATTGTCGCAGTTTTCCTCTCTGCTGGCCTGTCTACCCTCTTAACATTCGGTTGTCATACCTTTTGCATTTCACAAAATAAACTTGTAGTGAAATGTTGATTTGAAGGAGCCTAAACTACACTGTCTCAAACACCTTCACCTGGTGCCAGTTTCATACACAGATGTTTTTTTGGGAAGTCAGTACAGCATAAAAAAAGTGCGTGAAGCAAACAGAAATAACGTCGGTCATGTTAAATATCCTACTCTATCTACCGTTGCAGAAGTAACGTGTTTGGCTGCAGAATTTAAATAAAAATGTGATAGTAATAAAATAGTTAGATAAAACTTAACCTAGACAAAACACCTCTGTATAGAATTAATGATAAATGCACTGAAATAATGCTGTCAGAAAGCTCTGATGTTTGAGACTTAAAGGTGCCCTGTGGAGTTTTCTTGTAAACAAACAAGTTATATTTACATACAGTGTGTTTGAGTTCAAACCAACGTGTTGAGCGCTTTTCATTCCTTGTAAAATGTGCAAAGCCGATTGATTATTTGAATATTTTAAATTGCTCAACAAGAGTTCAAAAAGCCATGTTTGAACAGACAAAGTTCTTTGTTGGTGCATTACTATGCCTCTCTGTGTGTTGCCTTGCCAACTGTCGATAACTGGAGTAGTGTGAAACTAATGGCAGGAATGTGAATCACATCACCTGATACAAAGAAAACAGAGCTGCTAGTGGTCATAAACTCCACAGGGCACCTTTAAGAGTCTGCTGCCAGAGAGCATTTGCATATTTACTATTTTTATATGCGAGTTTTCTTCTTGCACTCAAATCACTCTGGAAACTAGTTTGCCTGATGGTGGTACAGAAGTAATTTTCTTATCAGATGATGATACTACATTTTCAGTTAAATCTGTGAATTAATAGTTGAAGGTGAGATGTAGTTCAGCTCAGGAGACAGCTAATAAGTTAAGATTATAAACTAACACCAATACTGATTTGCTGCATTATGAAACACCAATAACATACTGAAATAATGCAAATAAAGGAGTGTGATTTTTAGTAAATGGTCTAAAACATGCAAAATATACCATTACAATACGTACTTCTTTAAATCTTAGAATACTGACATGTTTAAAAGCAGATGTTGATAATGTGGTAAAGTTTGACCATTTCTATTCTATTCTATTGCCAAAAATATAACAAAAGTGTCACAAAGACACAGGAGAGGGTGATATGTTTGCCCTTTCTCTGCATTTATAAAATAAAATTTTGGCTTATTTATTTGTCTGGCTTGACAAACTACCTATATAAATTTTGGTTATCTTCAGCCAAACAAATATGTGATGATGTAAGTCACTGTTTAAAAAGAGGCGGAGAGAAAATGGGCAAAAGAAAAAAAAAACCCTACATAATTCATAGAGCCAGCTCTTACAGTAAAGGGGGGTTTGCTTTTCTTAGAGATAACTGGACCAGGTTCAGATAGTTAAGACATTATTTTCACAGGAAAGACACCCACTAACCCCTCAGTAAACTCCCAATAAACCCAGTGCTTGCCTGTCTGCCAGTTTTGTGTCCAGGAGGTTAACCAAGCTTGTAATTGTCACTTCTGCTAATCCTGAGCCGTGCTTCTCGATCATATGGGGTGTTTTCTTCAAATTACTGTACAAAGAAGAAAAAAGATTGCAGCTTGGAAACTGTGGCCCCAAGCCCTCTTTGAAGCATCATTTTCAGTTTTTCATATTGCCCATCACTCATATACTATACAACTCGTAGGAAACATTGTTTTTGCACATATGTGGCACCTTCACAAGTCTTTCTCTTTGCACTTATGTTTGTTCTGCTTCCTTGCTCCACACTGAAGGGCTGGATTGTTCAAATACGTTAATTTACAGTTTTTTCGAATTGGCACTTGACAAATAACAATAAATAAATATATAGAAGACCATCAGTAGCTCTTAGGATGCTGTTCTTTGTGTAGAAACGTCTTTCCCATCTCTTGCCATCTGTCTGCTCCGTATTAGTTCATTTAGATTTCCTTGAGTTCAAGAGAAACAAGAATTTAACTCCAGCAGCAACATTTTCTGGAGGAAGGTGTTTTCAGGGCGCGCGAGTCGCTTTCAGCAGGTGCACAGGTAAGTCAGTGTGTTTGTGTGTGTAAATATTGATTTGGGTATGCTTTTGACCTGTTGTTTAATTTGTGGTTTAGTCCAGCGAGAGCAGTGGCTGCATGTTGTCCTCTTCACTCTTGACTTTGTCTGGTCGTTTCAGGACGCCTGGTTCCACCACCGACTGAGACCTGCATGGAAACAGAACGACGATCAGTATTAGTGTGTACCAGAGGTCTTCACGGCCCTGACTGAGACCAGACCTGGGACATATCGGTTCAAATTTATATACTTGTGTCCTGTTCTGTTAACTGAACCGAAGTGACTCAATCAGCTCCGGTTCATAAGCATAGAATGATTTATTTGGTGAGACGGAGAGTGTAAACTGTGAAGTGAACTGTATTATTCTCTACTGCAGTGACAGTCTGCTGTCTGAGCTCATATTGTTATTTGTCCTCCATAGTCTAAAGGTCTCCATAGTCTAAATATTTTTGAGTGAATGAGTCAGTTGGTGTCACATAGTGGTCAGATGATTTACTGTCACTGTGAATCATACTGCATGGTGGCCTATAGGGGGGAATGATACTCAGTTAAATGTCAAACATACTCACAGCAGCAGGGTGCCTGAAACCTGGACTCATCTCTCAAGTTTGTGTCCACAAACACTATAATTTAACACGCATGTTTTTTTAAAGTCAGACATTAATAGTTTTTGAAGGCCAGTAACTCATTTACATCATTCATTCATCATATTTTTAAACAGATGCTTGTAAGCTTGTAATTGTGTTACAACTCTTTATATGTGATATTTAGTGACAATATTAATGTCAACAAATGCTGAAACATTATATACCATTCAGTGTTAAAAATGATCAAAATCAAAGAGACAATAAGTAATATGTAAAAGATATGTAATATTGATGGTGTTGTTTCTTTAAGTTTCATTATCATTTAGTTATTTTGCTTACTGTATATTTATTTAAGTCTATTTTTAAATGTTTCCTTTTTAATTAGGTATGTTCTCATTGAAGGCATGTACAGGAAATCTGAAGAAAAGGCCCACAGAAGCTCATAACACTATTTAGCTATGTTTTTCTTTCACAATCAATTAGACCATGGTTGTCTTCTTCAGTCAAGCCAACGATGGCAGGTAGTGGGAGAAGACAGACAGTGAGATTAAATCTGCACATCAGCTCTATCTCACTTGTTTACACTAATAATACAAACATAATATAATTACTTTGACAATATATTGATGTTGATACACTGATGCGTACTGTAGACAATAAGGGGCTTACTGTAATACATATTTTATGCCATTTCCTGCAACACAAGCACTATATGTTCTTTTGGTTTATCTATCTATTTTTCTGCATTTGTTTTTTAAACCCGTCTGGTTCTCTTAGTGTTGTGTTTAGAAAGACATGTTACCAGAAATGAGGCATATCTTGGATGAAGAATCATTTCCTTCCACAAACATGTGCTGTGGGGCTTTACAAGATTTTTTTTTAAAAACATAAAAGTAAAAATGTCAGTAAATGACCTCTTCATGGTTTTTGGGGACAGGTTTTTCTCCAGGTCTCTCTCCAGGTCTTGTACTGACAGGGTGTAAGACTCCGGGCAGTAGTCGGTCTCCTCGTCGTAGGCGTGGTCCAGCAATGTTCGCGCCCACGTGCCCATATCGTACGGCGGCATCATCCCGCCAAGCTCTGACGGCAAGATCTCAGGATGGATCAGCTGGTGGAGGCTGTTCAGGTTGTTGCCGTGCATGAAGATCTGCAAGGAAAATTAAACACACAGGAAGACAGTTTAGATTGACCCGATGTTTGGTCTTTGGCTTTTGGTCTGACATATTCTCTGATCCTTTTCACCTTCACATTCACATTCAGATTCTGTTTTTAGTCTTTTTTTTAACTGTAAAAAACACGAAGAAAAGCTTAATAGTTTAGTGTGTAAGATTTAGTGGCATCTAGTGGTGAGGGTTGTGAATTGCAACCATCTATCCAGTCTACCACTGCCCCCTACCCTTTCAAAGAGCGCAGGACAGCTGACGGTGTCTAACACAGGACAAAAGATGTCTCTCTCAGAGTAGCCAGTCAAGAAATGAGGTTTCTTTAGGTATATTTATTAAGAAATTATATTTGCTTAATTATTCAGTAAAACCATATGTTATTGTGACTTGGCCACTGACAGATAACATGGAAAATGTAAGCCAAGACTGTCCTCACATAATCACTTCCTCTTTAGTGGTTTTGGCTACAAAATAAAAGTGCAAGAAGCTTGTGTATTGTACTGCAGTATTTGGAGTTGTCTGTAACCTGCTTGACACACCTCTGAAAGAGCCGTCAGAAATCGTGATTCCCCTAAATGTCCTCTGCCTGGAGATACTGGGGAATTGCAAATGCGTCCGTAGGCTGATGATGCGGATCAAACACCGAAACAAAAACAATGCAGCACATGCCGTGATCTGAAACATTTGCTGCAGAATCCAGTTGTTGAAGAGAAAAGTTGCCCCAAAGTAGGACTGAACACTGAACCCTTGGGTTGCAAGTTGTGCACTTTACCAACTGAGCTAACCAAATAACACACTTATGTTCGTCAATATTATAGCTTATATTCTCATCCACCATCTAGTGGTTGAAAATATTGCTCCGATGCAAAGTTATTTGCAGACATCTGCAGTATATTAGCACTACTTTTCCTTCTTCTAACGTACGTATTCAACATAGTGATGAGTGCCTGAATTGTACCAGAAGTAGAACAAGAAGAACGTAGTTTCGAAACGTGCTCTGTAGTGCTGTTTGTCCATTTTCAGCTACTGCAGAAACATGACGATGCAACATGGCGACGTCCATGGAAGAGGGGACCCGCGGTTATGTAGATATAAATGGCTCATTCTAAGGTAATAAAAACATAATGGTTTATTATGTAAAGTCTTTACACACCACTGAAAACATAGTTATGGATCTTATATTGCAGGGGTATTCAATTAGATTTCAAAGAGGTCTACTTAGAGAAAATTTCCTGAAGCAAAGGTCCAGAACATCAAAACGACGAACTTGCGTTATCATTCAGTACTATAACCTATAGTTGTATCAACACATGTTTTTAGTCAACAACGGACTGTCAAATCAAATAATATTTCAGTCAGTTTTCACATCAAACTGGAGGGATAATAAATAATAACTATTCAAATAATAAATTCTAAATTTAAGTAAACTAAAGTGCCTAATTTTTAGAAAAAATGTAATAAAAAGTGTAGCTTGAAGTGATGAAGTGTAGTCTTAACCAATTTTATAATAAACACTCAACACATCATAACAAATGAACAGCTGTAATGCCTCCTCTTCTCTTTCATTTCCTCTTACAGAGCTACCACTTTCCTACTTTCTGTTGTTCAGTGAGAAACGTGAGCTCCAGCTCGCATATTGGAGATCTATGAGATATTCTGGTTTTGAACTGCCCGTGGGAGGAACGTACATGTAAAAATCTGTAAATTCTTGATTAAAAGTCATGTGAAATCTCTTTTATCTTTCGTCTCCTCAATTCGGGTGTGTTTCCAAAACGTCTCTGGTGAATCTCGCGGACTCGACTCGCAAGCATCGGTATGCACAGATTTGATTGGCTGAGCAGCGTCACATGAGACGATTGGAGCACATGCGATTGGTCTGTGAGTTTCCTGGTCCTCTAAACCAGTACAGTAAATGCTAGAAAAGCTGCGCGGGTTAAAATAGAAACGCTCCGTCACGAGGTAGTAAGTCTCAATAATAAATGTGCTGTAGGTCGGCGGTCCGGAGAGGACGGCGGCTGGGTCCGGATCCGGACCGCGGTCCGCCTATTAGTGACCTCTGTTATATTGCATTTCTGTCAATAAATCCTCAGAAATATTACACACTGAACCTTTAAGCAACTGGGGGCCTGTTTCAAGAGCAAATGTGGGGCCCTACCCAACCTCGTGATGGGGCTGATTGGCACAAATGCACAACATGAGTTTCATGGATCGTACATTTTCGAAAAAATGTTCATGTTTTTATATTAATTTCACTTTAACATCAACATCCTGTAAATTCTTGCATGTTAGTCAGGGCCCTTTGGAGGGCAGGGCCCGTTTTTAATTTGAAATGGGTGAAACATAGCTAAGTCTGCCAATTGGCACATGTAGCTCAGTTAATGCAATTGTAGATGTTGCTGAATGGGTCATGACATTTTGAGTAAGCAATTTAACCAAATTACTTTGCAATTACAATGCAGTTCAATCTGCATCAGCAGCAATATTCAATCTCCTTGGAGCTCTGCTTTTGGTCTACACCAACCCCTGAGGGAAATATCTGACTCTTTAGCTGCTTAGTTGTGGGCTGTAAAATGAGAGATGCTATAAATACAGCAGAGCTGAGAGTAAATGTAGAGTCAGGTGATGATTCAAATTGGTTCATGACCCATTTCACATACAAGTAGGCGTGTAATCCATTGTTAATATATAAATATTGTTTATAGCTGCTTTTATGTAATGTCTTCTGGCCATACCCTCTTCCTGGTCTTGTCTTTGAGGAAGGGTCGTATCACCGTGTAGAGAGCGTGGATGTACCAGGGCTGGTTCACAAAGTGGATTCCTCCAAATCTGGCAGGAAAACTGTCCTGTTCCAAAAACAAACAAAACAATACATGTAAATACAGGCAAAGAGGATAATCCCATCCTGTTGATCCATGTTTTTTTTCTTTGTAGAGGTAACAGTAAAATGGTGAAATGGGATATGTTAGAGGTTTGCTTCATGATGATCACAGCTGCAGGTTGTATTTTACTTTCATTTTCACTGTAATAGAAAATAACATATCATCAAAATATGGCTTTAATATGAGTATAGCTGGTAAGCACATAAAAAAATCCTCAAAAACATAGTATAGAAGATATTTTAATTAAAAACAGACAACTTGCAAATCAACATCATTATAAAATTGCAAACTGGTGGTGGGTAAGCAGATGTGAAACTCAGCAACTCACTCTGAAGTAGAAAAATGCATTTTAACATGATGATACATGGAGTTTGTACAGAATGACTTCATAAAATGAAGTAAGTTGCTGACTGTTTTTTAATTATTGAATAACTGCAGAGAATGTTGTGGTTTGGCCACAGAAACAGAGAGAACTAATTATTAATTGAGAGACATTTTTAATTGTAGGACGGGCAGGCAAGCAGGCAAGTATCCAACATCTTCAACTGCAAAACTGCATATGGCGGCTTTAACAAACAGACACGGACACAAGCAAAGTGCTTAACACAACACATGCTGTATCTGATTGAGAATTTCAGTGCTGATAACGATTACTGAATAACCAAATACAAAAATGTGGAGAGGACAATATATATTTCTAGATTGACAAGATTATGTTTGTAATGAAACATCAACATTTAGAGAGCCTTCACCATGCTTAACGAATACATACATTTATTGTAAACTTGTAAATTTGTTATGACATTAATTCATCTTTTGAAACTTGTGGACTAGTTTTTGTCAGTCACTATCTTCTTACTGACAAACATACAGGCTACAAAAAACATTAGAATAACAGTTACCTATAACAGTTGAACGCCACTGTTTAGAAGGCTGCAAGCCTTTTACAATAAACTGACTAGCAGCTCTGTGGCATCATTGATCCTCAGCTCTGTGCTCCTCCCTCTGCTGCTGATATGAAGAGACAAAGTACCCGCAGACAGGTAGTAAGAGGAGAAGGGGCTGGTCAGTATCAGATCTAATTTGCAGATACATAGATAATTAGTCTCAACTGTTACCTACAATTTGCTTTGGTTTTTAGCTCATTCACAACAATTTGCTATTAGCATAACTAGCTCCGTGTGGTTATGTGGACAAATTCATTACGTACCACTGTATATGATGCATTTTTCTAACCACAGGATACAGAGACTTTATGACATGTGCAATCATTACGGCTCACGAAAACAAAGACTAATAATATCTGTGTTTGATCAGAAATAACCAAATAGCCAGTCCCAATCAAGAGGAATTTTTGTCTTCTTTAAGTTCCAGCAAATGAAAAAGTAGCTCTGAGAGTTTCCTGTCCCTTTCCATTAAATTAGTTTTTGTAAATGGGCTCTAATCTCATAGTCAATAGGAAATGGTCCGGTCTATTTTGGAGTCACCGCAGCACAACGCCTGAGGGAAATGAGTCCTTGTTCATATAGGTTAGTGTGTGTCTGGGCCTGACACAGTGTTTCCTAGAATGCTGGACACAATTATGATAATTACAGTCCACTGTGTGTGTGTGTGTGTGTGTGTGTGTGAGATTATATTGTGATGGAACAGAGCTGGCTGATGAAAAGTGGCTCGGGGCAGACGTTTATATAAAAACTGTTAGTATTGTGTGAGAGAGATGGAGACAGTGAGAGTATCTAAGGTCGGACCAGGTTTGTAAATTAGGGTTTGACCGATATGAATCACCAAGCCCTAAGTAGGTCAGCCAGTGGTTTTGCTCTGCTGGCAGGAAAGTTAGTAATCAGACTGTCCAAGGCTTTGGTCCATAGCAAGATACTGTATCTGTATCTGCGGCCATATTTACATGAAATTTTATGTGAATATTCACGATCCCAAGAGGATTTTGGTGACCCTCTGAACTTGCATCTAGCACTACTGCCTAGCCACATATTCATATTTGTTGGCTGTCTAATGCTCCACATTTTATCCAGGTAACTAGGGCCTAAAGTGTGTTTTTATTCTTCAAGTTTATGTTCTCCAAGCTTATGCATGTAACTACGCAACGTGACATACATCTATAATTTCTACCAATTAAAAATATGCCACATACAGACACACAACTTAGGAGGACCGTCAACAGTCTTACTTTAGGATTTATACCAGTTTTAACAGAAAATACCTAGATTTTCAAAGAGAAAATCAAAACAAAATATTTCCTGCTGCAAGAACACCGTTTATTTGTCAAAAACTTATTTGGAATAAACTATTGTTTCATCAGGGACTAGGGTATAAAAGCACACACGCGGGACATTTCCTTATGATGGCCACAACGAAGAATATCATGCAGTTATAGAAAACAAAGATAAAAATGTTAATAAATTAGCTGCTGATTATAGACCCTACGTCCTCCAAGTATATAAAACTAAAAATAGTTAATCCAATGATCAAATTGTCAGTCAGATTTTTGTAATATTGATTTTTGCAAAGGATTTGAATGCTACGGATGGTGGTGACCTGACCTTCTGTGTTGCTACAATCTGTCTACATTTTTCAGATTTTGTTTTTACAGAAAGAAACTTTGAAAATAGTTTATTTTTCAAAATAAATACATCCAAATAAATATAAATAAATAAATGTATATAAAACCCAAGAATCTAAATATAGATACTGAATATTGGTGCAAAATATCAGCAGGATAAGCAGGTTTCCAGACTGTCAATACTAATAAAGAGGCTTATATTGGTTAAACCGCGGTCAGGCAGCCTCTCTCCCTCTCAGCTGTCAGATCCCTCTGACTCTGAACCTCCGGCCTGCCCTCTGCTCTGATAGACATTTTCACTTTGATGAAGGGACCTGCTGCATTATATATGAAACATGAAACTGAAAATGGAATATGAGCTGCAGGGCCTCTGCTACTACACTGGAGGCACTGAAGAACGAGGAGGAGGAGGAGGAGGAGGAGGAGGAGGAGAAGAAACAGGAGCTAAAGGATTGATCTGCTGAAGGAGGATGACTGGGTATAAGGAAAATCTGTTCAAACAAAAGTGGAGGCGCCATAGTGCGAATAATAAAAAGTACAGGAGATCCAAGAGGGAATGAAAGATTAAATGAAAGATGTTAAGGAGCTGGAATTATGGAGGGAAGAGGGAAGCAGATCAACTTTAAAATGATTTCCACAACATTGTTTCCCTGAGAGGCAGCAATAGGAGGACTGAAGAGTGATTTAAAAGAAGATCATCAATACTTTTTAAATGCACCATTGTTTCCCTCCAACAAAAATCCCCTCAGAAGGCTTTGAACATTTGCAATGAACGAGCACACCAATAAGCCTCACTTATTTTGTGGTCAATATTTTCAGAAATTGAAGTATTTATATTCTCCTCCAATCTAAAACATATGCAAAACACATTAAAATTGCAACAGCGAAAACAAACAAAAGTTACTGGTTAAATGGATATTACAAATTGGCAAAAAACCTAATAGGATTTAGAGAAATTTTGTCCTTTTGTGACAAGTGTTGTAAATATATACTAGTTGCTAAGTAAACAGCTGAAATATGAAGTAGGTATAAACTGCCAATTCTAGAAACCAGCCACTCAAAACCATTTGAGCATTTTCTTTGATGTTTGGCTTCTGGAGGCAAATGTCGACTTTAAACAAATGAGCTACTGTGGGGATTTATTTTTGGACTCGCTGCAGGTCACTGCTGGGCGTGTTCAGTTACAGCGAAAGGTTGAACAGAATTTAAGGCGACAGAAGATGGAGAAATGTCCATCAACACCAAAAGGACAATGTGTAGAGCTGAGGAGTCATTTTTAAAACACAATCAGTTTATATATACATTTAGTATTTTCTATAAATCTCCCTTAAACCCTGTTGCCTCATCTCTCACCTCCCCCTCCTGGGAGCCTGTGGCTTTACTGAAGAGGATAAACACATTAGAGATGATTTTCTCTTCAAAGCTTGGTTAGCTGTAGAAAAACTGCGCCCACCTCTCGCTTTGTGACACTCCAGCAGATTTTCCTCTAAATCTGACCTCGGGCCATAACGAGTAAAATATAGTGAAAAAGCAGCAAATCTCGTTGGTGATGGTTTTTTCTCTTCTACTGTAATTACACTAATGACTCAGAATCTTTTTATTGTTTTAAAAGGAGGAGACTTCATCGAGGTGAAGAGGGAAACGCCTTTCTTTTGTCTATTCATAATCAGCTTTTCCACAGCAAATTTGGGTACCAATAGTTTCACTTCTTCTAATGTATTTCTTAACGGTGAAAATTGAGTGGGAGTGTACCGTGATTGCCAGGTGTCTCATATCACATCCTATTACCCAAATTGTTTATCTGCCTATAAATACTGACGAGATAGCAGTCATGGTAAACCTTTCTCCAGGATTTAAATATCAGAATCATATGACACATTAAAGTGTATGTTTTAGTGGCATCTAGTGGTGAGGGTTGTGAATTGCAACCAGTGGCTCAGGGTGCACACGTTCGAGTTGCAAAGTGTTCTTACGACTTCAGTGTGTGTTCATGTCGGAATGTGTGAATCAACATGGATGCCACTACAAAGATGTGTTGGATTAGCATTATCAGAGTGTATAAACAACACACAAACATCTAGTTCACTCTACATGGACTAACCAAACTAACCATTTTAGCCATATAACAAACTGCATGTTTGCAAAATATGTATATGCAATATGTGATTTTGCACGAATCAAAGGTCTGTATACTCCTTTATGTCACATGTACTCTTTATTTATCCTCTTGCATGTAATATTTAAGGAGGAAAAAAATTCTGATTGTTCCAACACCACATGAATGCACTGCTCACCCCTCCCTTTCTAGGCGCCCAGGAGAAGTTACGGTGGCCGACAGGCTCTGTCAGCTCTCGTGCTAAATAATACGTATGGGCCTCCATTTGTC